TGAACCATGTGCATCTGAAATAAAGTTAAAATAATTCACTCTTGGGGCGCCTGGGTGGCTCAGTGGTTAAAGCCTCTGCCTTCGGCTCAGGTCATGATCTCAGGGTCCTGGGATCCAGTCCCGCATCGGGCTCTCTGCTCGGCAGGGAGCCTGCCTCCTCCTCCTATCTTTCTCTGCCTGCCTCTCTGCCTACTTGTGATCTGTCTGTCAAATAAATTAAAAAAAAAAAAATCTTAAAAAAAAATAAAATAATTCACTCTTACACAATTCTGGTAAGTGGTAAGTGGTAAGGCATCACTTACTTAGCTTCAGTTTCCTTGTCCACAAAATTTCATTATCTATAAAATTCAGGTGACAGGGTCTTTACTAGTACTTTACTTTACTACTACTTTACTAGAATTGCAGATATCGAGCAGGGTAATAACAGAAGTCACTCAGTATAATGCCTACCTGCTAAGTTAATCGTTAACTGTTAGCTGCTGCTATTAATATTATCATCTCTATTATGGTTTACTGCCTTGCAGGGTAGTTGTGAGAATGAACTAAAATAATGTGTATTTTATACATCAGCACAGTGCCTGGACATAAGGGGGTATGTGTGCGTGCGTGTGTGTGTGTGTGTGTGTGTGTTTAACATGCGGCAAATAAATATATATATGTACATATGTATGTGTTTTTTAAGGGAATTAAGATCGTGTTCTACATACTGTTGGACAACCTGATTATCATCCTTAAGACATCTTAAGCATTTTTCCTGTAATATTAATTATCAGGAACATTGCACAGTGATGGTGATAGAGCAGCCATGCACCCTGGGACAGAGATGAGGGTTCTCCGGCTCTAATAGCTATACGGATGGGGTGGGCCAGTGCAGTCTCCCTCTGTCTTAGCATCTTGAAGTGGTCAGATGTCCAGTGTCCCTTGCTGGCCCTGAGCCATCAGACAGGCCACTTCAGCTCTCTGAGCCTTTCTACCTGAAGCATTCTCTTGAGGATTAGAAATAATTTAAAGTGACAAATCCCAGGAGAAGGGGCTCAACAAATAATTATTAATTGCTGGTGGTGTCCATAATGAGGTATGTGCACCAAGATCCACTGGGGGCAGAAGAAAATGTGAGAACTTGAGTTTCTATTTTTTTTTTTAAGAATTTTTTCTATTTATTTATTTTTAATCTTACTCTTTTACAATCTCTATGTTGTGTGTACATTTTCAAATATATTAATACAGTAGTACTGTTTTTTAATAGATAAAAATTTATAACTCGAGAGTACATGCTTATATTCTTTTTATTGGTAAGAATGTACAAAATTGTATCTAGGTCATTATTTCCATCTGCTGGCTAGTTGTGTGGTGTGAATTCCTTCTGTAGAGTAGATTGATTTGACCTAAATTGGAACCTTAGTCTCAGAAAGGAAAGCAGTAGTTTCCAGTCTCACACTGCACCATAGTTTAGTCCTAGGACATCTAGAAAGGGTTGTTCAAGTAAGGTAACAGTAGTGATAATAACATCACATCATAGTTTACAGAGCTTTCTAGTGCCTCATAAATAATAATGTAGAAACAAGCTTAGGGAATAGAATAATTATGATTATGGTCAATAGATATAATAATAGTTAATTATGAATGATTTTCAAATGCAGCTGCTTCATCTGTAATTACAAAAGCATTAACCATGGTATTATACATTTACAAGGGAAAGAGAAAGTTGAGGTTTTAGTAGAGCAGGAAAAGGCTAGCTTTAAAAATGAAATCTGAAACCATGAAAAGAGGTTCAATGGTTACTGAATGCAGATGAACTGCAAATGCAAAGCGAAACAAAGTACAACTGGTTGCCCATCATGTGGGGCAGAAACGTTAGTCTGATGATCATGCAGGTTGGTGAGGATGTGGGAGTGCTCTGGGGCAGCGGTATAAATCGGTACAGCCACTTGGGAGGACAGTTTGGCAGCATTCTCAAGAGAGAAAAGTGTTCATGCCATTCACTCTCTCCGGATGTACCCTCGGGAAACACTCTTGCACAAAAAGGCGTGAACCAGCATGTTCATTGCACGACCGCTGTTAACAGCAAGCGGTTGGAGACAGCTATTATTTGCAAATGGTTAAAAAAAATCGTGGCTTTTTAAAAAATTAAAGTATAATTCACATACCGTGTACAATTCAGTGCTTTTCAGTATATTCACAGGACTGTGCGGCACCACCATTATCCAATCACAGAACATTTTCATCACTGCAAAAAGAAACCCTCTACCTGTTAGCAGTCACTCCCCATTTCCCTCCTTCCCCCCTCCCTTGGCAACCACCACCTACTTCCCCTCTCTTTAGACCTGCCTATTCCAGACATTTTGTATAAAAAATCTGAGGCCTTTTTTAAAAAATAACAGATGTATTGAGATATAATTCACACATGATACAAGTTATCCATTTTAAATGTACTGTTCAGTGGGTTTTAGTACACTCACAGAGTTGTACAACTATCATAACAATCGATTTTAGAAAATTTTCATCACCCTTTCCCTTTAGGGGAATCACCCCCAAACCCCTCCTCCCCAGTCCAGGACAACCATTTTTCTCTCTATAGACTTGCCCTTTCTGCATGTTTCGTACAAATGGACCACAAAATGTATGTCCTTTTTCCTGGCTCCATTCACTTAGCACATTTTCAAGATTTATCCACGCTGTAGCGTAGGTCAGTGTCCCGTTTTAATTGCCAGATAATATTCCATCGTGTGAATGAATATACATTGTTTCTCCATTCATCAGTCGATGAACATTTGCATTGCTCCCACCTTTGGACCACTGTGAACAAGGCTGCTAATGAACAACCGTGTACGAATTTCTGTTACGAGCACTTGTTTTCTGTGCCCTTGGGTGGAGTTGCTGGATCCTGTGGTAACTCTTTTACTTTTTCAGGAACTGCCAAACTGTTTTCTTGCAGCGACTGCACCATTTTACCTTCCCACCAGCAGAGTATGAATGAGAGCTCCTGTTTCTCTGTACCCTGGCCAGCACTTGCTTTCCTGTCTTTTTATTTTAGCCCTCCGTGGGGGTGTGACGCGCTCTCTCATTGTGGTTTTGATTTGCATTCCCCTAATGATGTTAAGCATCTTTGCATGTGCTTGTTGGCCATTTGTATATCTTCTTTGGAGAATTATCTGTTCAATGTGTGGCATTTTTAGGCTGTGCTGCGGAGCTGTTCAAAGGAATGAGGTAGATCTATATGTAGTAATCCCTGAGTGCGTCTTCCAACATTTTAACAAAATAGCAAAATAGCAAGTAGTAGAATGATGGATTACAGTACTGTAAATTTTATATAAATACACACACTCAGGACTGTGTGGTTAAATATGAACATGTAAGAGGATAGAGAATGATCTGGTAAAATATTTCCCAAACTTCAAGACAGTTGGTCATCTGGGGGCAAGAAGAGAAAGAGCTAAGGTGGGAGTGGGAGCTCATCAAAAGGGATTTTTGCCTTATTTATGACATTTTGCAAAGCATTCATGAACTATTTGGTTAATAAAAAATTGTATTGGGGCGCCTGGGTGCCCCACTGGGTGGCTCAGTGGGTTAAGCCTCTGCCTTTGGCTCAGGTATGATCTCAGGGTGCTGGAATAGAGCCCCGCATCGGGCTCTCCACTCGGTGGGGAGCCTGCTTCCCCACCTCTCTCTCTGCCTGCCTTTCTGCCTACTTGTGACCTATGTCTGTCAGATAAATAAATAAATCTTAAAAAATAAAAAAAATAAAAAATATTGTATTAAAAAGTCCTTAAAATGTATACACCATTTGAAACTATAAGAAAAAGGAAGCAACTGGGGAGCCCTGTCTGAAGAGTTTACAATCAGTGCTTTCATGCCACCTGGCAATAGACAACTTCTGTTCCAAAAGTAGGTTCATTGACGCCCTTTACAGCCCAGATCTATTTTGTCTTGGTCTCTTTTTCAAATTAATTTTATAATTGTTTTACTAATATGTAACAATTCAAATGGCATAGAGCTTTATAAAGTTAAACTTACCCGCTCTCTTCACCTGAAACCCCCTCCCCCACAGCAGTGAGTGTTCGAGCACTTTTCCTGATAAACTTCCCCGTTCTACTTCTAGTATTGTGTCCTCGCACCAGCCAGTAAAGTGTGTTTCATAGGCTTTCTGGCTATCTTTTGTTGATAAGGAGAGAAGCTCCTTCCTCTGTAGGGGGGACGGAAGTCTTTGTCTTTAAGCATCTAGGACCCTGGTCTATAGGCTTGCTTTGTATCACCCCCTACCAGAGATTGTGATTCCCTAGGTTTGGAGGGCTGCTCCGGTGTCTTTATTTTATAAAAAGCTCCCATGGTGATCCTGATGAGTCAACCGGGTTAAAAATCATTTATCTTGGGAATAACAGAGCCATCATAAACTGTCTCCATGATGCTTCTTTGAGAATTATTTTGGGTAGGTTCTTTACGAGAGAGTAATGAGCCTGTCAGCCTTAAGGAAACATGCCTGAACTTAGATGGTCTGTTTTGTTCCAGGAATTTCACAGAATTTTTACTTTAAGTTATTTTTAGCATTGAGGTCTTATCTCTAACTGAATACTCCACATAGAGCTGCCATCTGAATCCGAGAAAGTGATCTTGGATTCTTTTTTTTTGAAAACAGTGGGATGATGCAGTATGGGGCAAACTTAGCACCTGAGCTTTCTGTCTTCTCGCACTGACGATGGGTGGATGTAGCAAAACTGACAGGTCTTAAGTCTTCTGTGCCCAGCAGACTATCCTGGGGTCTTGTTTTGTCAAGCTTTTGTTCCCCCGCCCCACCCCACCCCCACTGTTGTTGAACTTCATTATAGTGTGTTTGCCTGAGATGCGACTCAGAACTTCACACTGATTTCCATTCTTAGGTTTTCAGACATAAAACTTGTAGAAATCCATAGAAGCTATATAAAGACATATTAGTTTCTCTGGAATAATAAACAGTAATCTTCCTCATATCTCAGATTATGTTAACTTTATATTTTCTCTTCTAGGTATTCTCATGGGAGCAGTTATAAAAATTATAGAGTTCAAAAAATTGGCAAATTGGAAGGTATGTTTGCCCAACTATTGATTTTTGAACATAACTTAAATTTTTATTGATTGTTCTTCATTTTAGAGCACTGATGGTTAGTTATGACGGCTTACCATTACTTGACTATGAGTGAAGTTTATATTGTCCCATTAATTTTTTAACATTCTGCTGGTTTAGGGTTGAGAGCTTTCCATCTGACTTTTTTGAAAAAGCATAAGTCTCACACTGCTTCAAGTTAACCGGGGAGCACTGGGCGTCGTGTTTTTGTTATTTATTTGCATATGTATAATCTTAGAATAACCTGCTGCTGTCTGGGGGGAAGTCTCTAATTAGCATTAAACATCAGTCAGTGGTTCTTGATGACAGCTGAGGATAAAACGGGTTTGTCCGGCACCGTGGAGCTTACAGAATGCTTTCTACAGCGTAGCTCATGTCCTCATGACAGCCACGTGAGGTACCACGTGATGTAGACTGACCACATGCTATCATCACTGTTTTTTTTTTAATTTTTTATTCTTATTTAAAGATTTTATTTATTTATTTGAGAGAGAGAGAGATCACAAGTAGGCAGAGAGGCAGGCAGAGAGAGAAGGGGAAAACAGGCTTCCCACTGAGCCACCCAGGCGCCCCACATCACTGTTTTTACAGATGAAGAAAGTGACCACAGAGAGCTTGAGACGTGTCCGACATCACCGAGCTAGAAAGTGGCCGAGTTGAGCCTTAGGGCCAGGTGCGCTGGCCCTGTGCTGTATTCTCTGCACCGTACCATGCTGACCTCAGCGTGTGGGCGTTCGTACCCTCGTGTTCACACAGTAGTCCACACATGAGCGTCATCTTGTGGCATAAGGACTAATTGAAACTCGAATTTCAACTTAAATTTGTCCATCCATATCAAATACAGAGATTTTAAAAAGTGTGTAACAAAATTGATTGTGTGGGGGACAATAAGGTTCATCTCAAAATATTAAAGAATATTTTGTCACTAAAATTTAGCACATTCAAACCCCACTTGTTTTGATTCAGCTCCTAGGTGCTAGGATTAATTTACCTATGAAACTATAGAGTGTAAAACTTGCAAAACAAGCCACGTAGTCTGACCTACAACACAATTTGAACTGTTATAATTAGTATTCAGGAAATATTGTATGTATTGAGTGGAAATGCAAAATACGCGTTGAGCTCCTCCTATGATAGAGTTCCCCTCGGCTGGGGAAGGGCCTGGACGGGCCCCACCGGCACACACTGTGAATGATCTCTGTGCCCTACTACAACTGGTTGAATTTCACCACCCTCACAGTCAAGGCTAGTTGGAGGACAGGGGACACAGGCTGTCACCCTTTCTCTGCTCCTGCCTACAGCCTGATGTGTAGAGCCAGCCTGCTAACACATCTGGTTTGACTTAAAATTAATTGCTCAAAATTGGAACTGATTTTAAACAATTAAAACTGGGTTTATTTTAAAGTATTATCAATCTATATAAATGCTGGAGATGTCACATAAAAACCTGAACTTCTAGCTTCCCTTAAAGAAGCAGAAACTCTCTGAACATCAGGCCCCGATGTCGCCCTGCAGAGATCCAGCAGCTTCTCCTCTGGGAAAACGCTGTGTGGCCTGGGGAGCCTGAGTTGGTGACCCCTGTTCTGAGCAGTGGGGTCAGGGGGAGGAGAGGGGAGGTTGTCCTCCATGTTGAGTTTTGTGTGCTTCAGTTTTGTTGAATTTATTTTTCAGTGGACGTTACTTTCCAAGTTAAATAATAGTAGTATATTTAATGGTACAGGCCAGTGAAGCAGAGCTGGGCAGTGAATGTAATTAAGCGGCCAGAGAGCTCTCCAGGCCATCTGGGCTCAAGCTCAGAGAAGGGGGAGGTGTCTAGGCCCGGATAGTTGGGCCAGGCTTCCCAGAGGAACAGGTTGTCTGTGGAAAGCCGAACCAGGAAGCAGGACACCTGTGTGGAAACCCAGTGCTGGGGGAAGCAAGGAGAGATCAGAAAATCAAGGAGTCTGGTGTTCTGTCTGTGCGGTTCTGCTGCCAGACTGTCCTGCTGGGCTTGCCTTCTGCCTGTATTATCAAATACTTACTTATTTACTTCTTGAAGCAACTTCGTTTTTTAATGTTTGTTTGTTTGTTTATTTATTTATTTATTTATTTATTTATTTATTTTAAAGATTTTATTTATGTATTTGACAGAGATCACAAGTAGGCAGAGAGGCAGGCAGAGAGAGAGGAGGAAGCAGGTTCCCTGCTGAGCAGAGAGCCCGATGCAGGGCTTGATCCCAGGACCCTGGGATCATGACCTGAGCCAAAGGCAGAGGCTTTAACCCACTAAACCACCCAGGCGCCCTTATGTATATTTTTTGTTGCAGTTTTTTTTTTTTAAGGCTTTTGTTATAAAACATACATAACATAAAATGTATTGTTTTAGCTATTTTTAGGTGTACATTTCAGTGGCTAAATATATGCACAATGTTGTACAGTCATCACATTATTTCCAGAACTGTTTTATCATCCCAGATAGAAACTACCTAGTAAACAACTTCCCAGTCCCCCTCCCCACAGTCTGTTCTACTTTCTGTTTTTTGGGTTTTTTTTCCAGTATTTTCTATTTTTTTAGTCACCCCCTATTCTACTTTCTGTCTTTATGAATTTACCTATTTTATGATTCCACTTTATGTAAGTAGAATCATACAACATTTGTCCTTTTGTGTCTGGTTTATTTTACTCAGCGTGATGTTTTTAATTTCATTCATATTGTAGCATGTATCCGAATTTCCTTCCTTTTTGTGGCTGAATAATACTCTTTTGTAGGTATATACGGCACTTTGTTTATCCCCTCATCTGTTAATGGACCATAGGGGTGTTTCTACCCTTTGGCTATTGTAGACAATGCTGCTGTTAACCCTGGTTTACTGTAGATATTTATTTTAAAGGAGACATTATAATAATGGGTTATAATACTGTAGGAAACCAATACTGTTTTTATAAATAATATGATAAAAACAGAGTAGTACAGAGGCCTCCTGAAGCCTCTGAGGTCAGGCTTGTTCTGTTGAAAAACGAGATCAAGCACATTTGGAGAGAGGCTTTCCATGTCCTAACACCAACCTGCAGTGTCTTTGAATCAAAAGGGGCTGACTTTCTCAACCTGGGAGGTCAGTGGCATGTGACATACACTGCTCAAGTAACATCTAAAATCATCTAATACCGTTTTGGGGATGATGTTGCCGAAAAGAACCTAGGATCTTTCTGTAACTCTAGGTACTTGCTAGAAGGTGGGACATGCATTTCCTGTGGCTGCTGCAGCAAATTACCCAAACTGGGGGGCTTAAGACCATAGAGATTAATTATTCTTCCATAGTTCTAGAGGCCAGAAATCTGATATCAAGGTGTTGGCAGGCATGTGTTTCCTCTGGGGAGCAAGTCCAGGGGATTTGAGGAGAATCCATCATTGGCCTTTACTGCTTCTGGTGGTCCCAAGCATTGCTTGGCTGGGGCAATGTAACCCCTTTCTCCTCTCTGTCCTTACATGTCCTCCTCCTCTGTGTATGTCCTTTCCTGTCTCTTGTAAGGACACTGTCATTGGGTTAGGGCCCACCCTAACTTAGTATGATCTCATCTGGATTCTTCCCTTAATTACATCTGCAAAGACTCTATTTTCAAAGAAGGTCACACCTGGGGTTCCAGGTGGACGTGAATTAAGCCTGGAGGACACCGGGCAACCCTCTGCAGGGAGGTTCTCTTCTTCCTTGGGGCGGGGCTGGGGGTTAGTTTCTGAAACTCCAAAAGAGTCTATACAGCACCCCTACTAGACAGGTCATGAGAATAAGTTGCCCCACAAAACAGAGATCGGCCCATTGCTTTTCACATGGTCCCGGTCTGAGTCATGAGCTTGTTGCACGGGCAGTTATTTTAAGACTTAAGGCATTTTCAGAAGTCATTTGCTTTCTATTTTGAGCCTTCGAATGTTATTTTAGTCTTTATGGTAACAGCTGTACATTTATGAGAATACACTTAGCCATTCTTTTGATTAGTCAAGGCAGATAAGACGTGACAGACAAGACATGAAAACTTTCATAGGAGAAAGGGCCGAATTTTGCACTGTGAAGTAGGTTTTGTATTACATGTGTCATTTTGAACTTGAGGACCAATATGAATTTTCCCTCCAATACACCAGCAATTAGAGATACTATATAGAAAATGAAATTATTATGTTACTCCTCCAAAGACGGCTATATTCTAGAAATACCTTTCCTAATGGTACTTAATACTTGAATCTGAAAGCATGGCAAGGGGCCTGCTTGGTACCATGTCCCAAGTCACAAGGGCATCAGATGGAGACTGTTTCATCATAGTCCCAGATTTAGGAAAATGGCACAGTTGTCTGACAGGCAGAGAAAAGGCAGGGCTGTTTTAAACATGGATAGCGTCTACTCTTCCTCCAAGTGGATTTTTTTAGGGCTTACTGTTACCGTTTTCCCGGAGAATTTCAGTTTGTGGACTTATTTTTGGAAGTGTTCTGTTTTAATTGAAATGTCTTCTGTATTAAAATTAACTTTCTTTCCTTAGTAAAGAATGAAAATCAGGGGCCCCTGGCGCTTAGTCGGTTAGTCGTCCAACTCTTGATTTCATCTCGGATCCTGAGATTAAGGCCCACGTTGGGCTCTGTGCTGGGTGTGGAGCCTGCTTAAGATTCTCTTTCTCCCTCTCCCTTTACCCCTCCCCCCTCCCTTTCTATAAAAATACTAAAAAAAAACAAGAATGAGAGCATATACTGTGTTTGGAAGCAGTTCATATGCTGGTCACCTTTTCAAATCACTTGTCCTACATTTTTTAATGCAGGTTTTATTGTGTTTTTTGGTTTCTTCTTCTGTTTGGTTTTATAATCAGGTAATCTTTTAAATATTGGGTGTTTCCACTGGGCTTAAGAGGACAATTACTTTGGCTCTTCACTGGTGGATTTATTTCTTAACTACATAGATTCCATCCTTCTGAAAAATACCCATTTTATATTTACAGGAAGAAGAAATGTTTCGTCCAAATATGTTTTTCCTCCTCTTGCTTCCTCCTATTATATTTGAGTCAGGATATTCGTTACATAAGGTAAGACTCTGGCCTGCATCGGTGCTTTTGGTCTAGCTGGCTGCCCGTGTTAGTAAGGCGGCCTCCGAGAAGCTTGGGTGTTGACCTCGCAGTGCAGGATCTGCACCCACACCCCAGGGTGCATGGTAGAAGCTGGACTGCACCGCCTGACTTAGGGAGAGGAACAGACGTATCTGGTCCGTGGGCTGCTGTCATGGTCGCAGGCGGTGTGGCTTCTTAACTGGTGTTTTCCGTAGAGGGTTACCTTGCCTAGCAAGTGATGGCCACAGTGATTTTAAGCGGTGTACGGACAGACGATCCATTGATTGCTCTGGTGGGACACAGACTGACATACGTAGGAGCACAGACCGTCCCGGAACAGCAGAGACATGTGCCTCAGGCCTTTCGATTATCTCAGCTCACTATGTCGGGCCTCTCTCCTTCCTTAGGCTTCTCCCTCCTTCAGTGCGTCCCCTCTCAGTGTCTTGCCCTGGGCCTCCGCTCCCAGCTGATAGCCCCTCACCCCCGGTCTCCCTTTCTTCCTGCCCTCTCCCTGGCCCAGCTTCTGCTTACCAGAGTGGAGCCTCATCCTTGCTCCCCAGTCATCCAGGTCCTTCTGGCCCATTACCTAGTCCCACAGTTACCCGGCCTATTCGTGGCTCCTCAGCCTGGAGAGCGGCCTCAGCAGCCCCTGCCCATTTCCCTGCTTTGCGCCAGCGTGTCTGGTCTCTGTCCTCCAGTTTCCAGTGGAACCCTTTCTGCCTGGGCAGGAGCTTCTAACTTTAAAGCCAGTTTGTATATATATGTGTGTGTGTTGGGGGCAAGGGGGTTGGGGATGTCTTTTTCTTGTCTGTGAGTTTTCTTTAAGTGTATTTAAGTTTTCAAATAAAAAGGTGGAGCACCTGGGTGGCTCAGATGGTTGAATGTTAGCTCAGGTCATGATCTCTAGGTCCTGGGATTGAGCCCCATAGCAGCCTCCCAGCTCAGCGGGGGGTCCCCTTCTCCCTCTCCCTCTGCTTCTCCCCGGGCTTCTGCTGTGTGTCTGTCTCTTTCTCAAATAAATAACCTTTAAAAAATAAAATAAAAAGGTGATTCAACTTAAAATATTAGTAATAATCAGTTATTTTGTGAATGTGATCAGTAAGCTAAGTTTGGCTTAGCCTCAGAGAGAGGAAAGAGCCTGGACTTTCAGAGATGTAGGTCTAATCCTGTGCTGCCCCCTACAGGTGTCTTTTGGGTAAAGTCAAGATTTAAAACAAAACCAAAAAACCTGGAAATTGGTTGGTTGTTTGAAGGTTTGCAGTAGATGAAAGGATGTTTGTAAAGCATCACCCACCACAGTAAATAACTGGTGGTGCTTCTGTTACTAACATGATCTATTATTAATGTGACCAGTGTTGTTGTTGTTGTTTTTAAGATTTTTATTTATTTATTTGACAGAGAGAGAGAGATCACAAGTAGGCAGAGAGGCAGGCAGAGGGAGAGGGGGAAGCAGGCTCCCTGCTGAGCAGAGAGCCCGATTTGGGGCTCGATCCTAGGACCCTGAGACCATGACCTGAGCTGAAGGCAGAGGCTTAACCCACTGAGCCACCCAGGCGCCCCATCTGGCTCTCTGCCCAACATCCAGTGCCCAGCACGCAGTGTTGTTTTTAATAGCTCGTTAAACTTGAGAGTTAAATTTGTCATGAGAGTTTTGGTTAAAACATACTAGTGAAATCTTTAATTTTCCACCTGGATACTAAAGCATAAATATTCTAAAATGTTCGGTCCAGATTTTTTTTTAAGCTGTTATTTTATTGTGGCTCTATTCAAAGAAAAAGTGAAAAGGAAGTTTAATATAAAAAAAATCCCAGATCTTATAAATTATTACTGACCTCAGATAATTTTTTATTATTTTTATTAATATATAATATGTTATTTGCCCCAGGGTACAGGTCTATGAATCGTCAGGCTTACACATTTCACAGCACTCACCATATGACATACCCTCCCCAATGTCCATAACCCAACCACCCTCTCCAAACCCCTCCTCCCCCAGCAACCCTCAGTTTGTTTTGTGAGATTACTAGTCTCTTACGGTTTCTGACCTCAGATAATTTAAAAAGAAACAAGCAAGAAGGAATTAAAAGTCAATGTCTAGCTCTTTCATTTTATAAACAAATATTAAATTATAAGCAGATTGAGGAAATATTTTAGAACAATGCTGAGGAGATTGATTTGGTTTTTACTTAAAAATATGACACTTTGGGGGCACCTGGGTGGCTCAGTCATTAAGCATCTGCCTTCGACTCAGGTCATGATCCCAGGGTCCTGAGATCGAGCCCCGCATCAGGCTCACTGCTCAACAGGAAGCCTGCTTCTCCCTCTCCCACTCCCCCTGCTTGTGTTCCCTCTCTCACTCTGTCTCTCTCCGTCAAATAAATCTTTTTTAAAAAATGACACTTTGGTTATTGCATTAGAGCATATAAAAATTTTATTTTCTAGTTTTTTGGAGGGAAGAGAGAAACTTGTTCCAAAATTTGAGGAAAATAATAGTTTCTTAGAAAAACGTATGTTTAAGGATGGCTTTCCAGCAGAAAATGGGACAATTTATGTGAAAGGGACTAATGTGAGTTAGAAATGCGAATGCAGAGACTTCTGCCCACTTCTTATCCTCCCTAAAGGAGATAGGAAGTCAACTTGAATGTCTTTAATATTGCTGTATTTGCTGATATAAATTTGGACTTGGAATAAAAATTTCATTAACATTACCACCAGTTAATATGCATTAGCTAGGCAACTGTTGGTTCTTTGAAATTATTAATATAATATAAAGAGTAGTCCATTAATTATGTCAAAGAGGAACAGATAAATTTGCTTTATGTAACAAAGGGAAGTTCTTGAATGTGGTTACTTGAATTGGGGTAAATTTTCAACATTCGGATTAATTTTTTTTTATATTTTATTTATTTATTTGACAGACAGAGATCACAAATAGGCAGGGAGGCAGGCAGAAAGAGAGTGGGGGAAGCAGGCTCCCTGCTTGAGCAGAGAGCCCGATGCGGGGCTCGATCCCAGGACCCTGGGATCATGACCTGAGCCGAAGGCAGAGGCTTTAACCCACCGAGCTACCCAGGCGCCCCATTCGGATTAATATTAACCAACTCCATAAATTATATCAGCATTAGATTCCTATAAACAGATCAAGACTTAATTTAATCTGTTTTTAACAACAAAATAAATCAGCTCCTTACAAAGAAAAGCTCAGAGATGAAAGCCTTTAGTTTAGAAAAAACCAAGTCATTGTGTTTGTCCTGTGTTATTTTGAAGTTCTTTGTGTGTGGAAGATTGATATACCAAAGTAATTGAATGTCAGATTATGGGAGGCCAAATCAGATTGTATGAATGAAGCAAAGTAGCCTCCTAAAGGAGATGGGCTTGTTGGGGCCGCCAGTGTTGAGCTGAGGACACACTTTTTTTAAAATAGCACTTTCTGGGGCGCCTGGGTGTCTCAGTCATTAAGCGTCTGACTTCGGCTCAAGTCATGATCCCAGAGTTCTGGGATCAAGCCCTGTGTTGGTCTGCCCAAGAAGCAGGAAGCCTGCTTGTTCCTCTCCCACTCTCCCTGCTTGTGGTTGCCTCTCTCACTATCTCTCTCACTCTCTCTGTCAAATAAATAATCTTAAAAAAAATAAAAAATAGCACTTCCTGTGGCTTCTGACCAGCTCAGTGGGAAGAGCATCTGACTCTTGGTTTTGGCTTCGGTCATGATCTTGGGGTCATGAGTTCGAGCCCCATGTCTGGCTTCATGCTTAGTGCAGAGTCTGTTTAAGTCTCTCTCCCTCTCCCTCTGCCCCTCCCCCTGCTTGTGCATAACCTCCCTCTCTCTCTCTCAAATAAATAAATAAATCTTTAATAAGATAAGATATCAGTTCCAGGGATATCTGGCTGTCAGTAGAGCATGCGACTCTTGTTCTCAGGTTCATGAGTTTGAGCCCTGTGTTGGGTATAGAGATTACTAAAAATAAATAAACTTTAAAAAATATGTATACCCCGCATCGGGCTCTCTGCTGAGCAGGGAGCCTGCTTCCCCCTCTCTCTCTGCCTGCCTCTCTGCCTACTTGTGATCTTTCTCTCTGTCAAAAAAACAAATAAAATCTTAAAAATAAAAAATACGTGTAGAATAAAATAGCACTTCCTCTTGTCTGTGGTTTGATAGTTAAGCAGAAGGATGGAATTCCTTGTCTATGCCCACAGTCAAGTGTCAGGGGTCCTTGGTATTGTTCCTAAGTAGAGCCCACAGGAGTCTAATAAATAGCTTTTTAAAAAATTTTATGGAAACTTGAAAGATATTACCATAGTACTAGGACTCAAATATTTTCTCTTAAATGCTGTAAAGTATAGGTAGAATTATATTTCATCTGTCATATTTGATGAAGATACTAATAGAGTAAAATAAAATTATTTTTTTTAAGATTTTATTTATTTATTAGAGAGAAAGAATGAGCAGGGAGAGGGCAGTGGGAGAGGGAGAAGTAGGCTCCCTGCTGTACAGGAAGCTCAACGTGGGACTCAATCCTAGGACCCTGGAATCATGACCTGAGCCGAAGGCAGATGCTTAACCGGTTGAGCCACATAGGCGTCCCTAGAGTAAAATAAAATTATTTGGAAGTCCTGTACAGCAAACTGAATTTTCTGATCATATAACCTATTATCTTGACATTCTTTATAATAATGCACCTTTTTTGGGGTACCTGCTGGCTCGGTCAGTGCAGCATGTGACTCTTGATGTCGGGGTTGAGAGTTCGAGCCCCACATTAGGTATAGAGATTGCTTAAAGTCTTTAAAGGAGATTATGTTCTTTTTTTAATTAAATAAAAAATTATAATTATGTAAGCTTTGGACTTTGATCAGACATGAAACACGATTAATTCCTTTAGTACCTATTCATTGGGCATCTCCCATCTGATGGGCATTATGCCAGCAACTGTTATATAAAAGCAGACGGGGTCATTGTGTGTGTGTGTGTGTGTGTGTCCGTCCCCGTCATCATGAATCTGTCCCCCATCCCCTGCTGAGCATATAGTTTAGTGGGAAAGACAGACATCAAACAGTTCTATAAATGAACGTAAGATTTCGGCCCTGTCACTCGCTACCAGGAGAGGGTTATTGTGCACTCGGAGCATAGAATAGGATCTGACCTGGGTAAGGGATGAGAGCAGGTTTCCCTCAGGAAGAGCCAGACCGCCCTAAGATCTTAGGATGATTCAGGTTCACCAAACAAGGAAGAAGAAAGAATGGTCAAAGCCCAGGGAGCATGCTGTGTTCGAAGAACCAAAAGCTACCGGTGCGACTAGAACCCAGAGAGCAAAGGGGAGGTTAGAGGCCTTCACAGGGGTCCAACCATCCAGGCTTTGGTTGGGTTTTAGCTGCGTTCCGAGCAGAAGTGGGGGGGGGTCAAAGTGAAGACAGCACAAACCAGGTGGGTGGTCTTTTGCAGAGAATCAAGTGTATACAGAGGGCCAGGTGGGGTGTGCATGCCTTCACCAACTGGACCAGCTACCCTAAGCAGTTCTCTTATTTCTGCTCTTTCCAACAGGGTAACTTCTTTCAAAATATTGGCTCCATCACCCTGTTTGCTGTTTTCGGTACAGCAATTTCCGCTTTTGTAGTAGGTGGAGGAATTTATTTTCTGGGTCAGGTAAGAGAAACATCTTTGAAAAATTCTGAGAATCTCACATTCTTAGAGCTAGTGCAGGGAGGTGGCGTAGGGACACTTTGAGGGGCCTGGGTTTCACATTCAAGGTAAATGCTGTCCTGGAAGGAAATCCAAACTCATATGAGGCACAGTAAAGGCATGCTGAAATTGTTTCTAAGTGTCCTCAAAGAGCGTTGGTGTCTGGAATTGAGTGAATTTTCTCCATAATGCCAAAAGTTTTGGATCTTATTTGCAAGCCAATAATTTCTTAAGACAGAATACTAAAAATAAAGCAGAATATATACCACCGAGGTCTTCAGATTATAACAGTATTGGTTATGTTATCAAGTAGACTGAATCAGAATTAAGCACTGTTTCTTAGTGAAAATTTGAATTTTTAAAAATCAAAATTCTGAATATGTTCACTCAATTCTAAGCTGCCCAGCCATAGAATTACATACTCTGGATTTTCCACCATTGCTAAACCAGTTCCCAGTGTTCTGTACTTTGAGTTCACATTACTTTTAATCTACCCAGAAAGGTAATATCTCTAGTTTTGCATTCTGCATGTCTATGCATGTCATAGTTCTTTTCCTTTATGGGCACTTGCAGAAAGTTTGCCTGCCCCAGTTCCGTAAACTAGGTTTGAGATTCAGGCCTCTGGGTGACTGGCGGGCTCCTCGTGTGTGTGTCAGATGTGTCTGCTTCTGTGGGCAGCGAGCGGTCAAAGCCGATGGCAGATGAGCGTCACCTGCACTGCCGCCTCAGAGGCGCCAGGTTAAATATGTCTGTCGTGCACCCTTCTTCATTGCACAGCTTCTAGCATCAAATGGGAATGAACTTAAGAAGACCAGACCTAATTTGGCCTGAAAGATGTAGCATTCTGTTCCATACTTCTGTTGTATAGTGATTGAATGCATGCTTAAACTAAAACTTAGGAGTTTTCTTTGTTTTTCAAGTGGTTTGGGGACTGAAGATTAATGTCCTTATTAGTTTCTAATACAGCACTAATGGACATTTTAATCTTCTTGGCTGTTCTCCAGGGGTTTTTTTTTTGTGTCTGTGTATTTGTGTGTTTTATTTTACAGGCTGATGTAATCTCTAAACTCAACATGACAGACAGGTAAATCTTTCATACTGTCACACCCGTATGACTGCTTTTCAGACTGGGGACAGTTCTCTCCACATTGATTCCCGGGTGTGGTATTTCTCTATTCTGTCTCTCTCTTTGTTTTGCTGATGATTTCTGCTGAATTCACTTGTAGCTCAGAAATGAATCAAAACTATATTGTGGAATTTTGAAGATCTCTAGTCAGAGCATTGCTGATTAAAATAACTGATTTAATTTAAGCTTTGGAGAAAATAACTCTGGTTTGTTAACCACACAGTGCATCTTTCATTACCCAGAATCATCTTCGGCTAATTTCTGAGTCTTCTCAGTGGCCACGAAGAAAAGTTGTCCTCTGGATAGATTAGGGGTGGAGTGGGGGGCGAGGTGTACAGTCTTCCCTGTGGGAGTCCCACGAAGCCAGGCGTGGGGTAGGGTGGGGGAAGCAGGCAGGGCCAAGGGCTCTACCGTGGACATCTTGCTCAGTCTGACGCTGCCCCAGTGAGCACTCAGAGCGGCCATCTCAGAGCCCAGCCCAGGAATTTCCTAACTGACTTAGCAAGAAGCAACCCAGGCCGCTGTCTCCTGGATAGTACCAGATCTAGTGCTTAAAAAGCACACAGGCAGAGTGAGGCCTGGTGTCCCCTCTCTGAGAAGTCCAGCGCGTGTACAGCCTTGGTCCATGTTTCTGGACCATCGGTGGTTGCTTCTGTGGCTTGCCTGGGGGCTGGAAAGCAAAGCCGACTCTCAGCCCCATCTCTCCCATCAGACCAGCCACAGCTTTCAGCCTTCAGCAACTTGGGGGCTAGAATCTTGAAGCCCCTTTCATGGGAAATGTGCCTCTGCTACCAGCCAACCCAATCCCATCTTTCCACCAGGAACACACATTTTGGAGTTTTTATTGTAAGATAGTCCTGACATATAAACAAGTAGCGAAAATCACATTCCTATTCCATAAGGAGCTGGAAATAAAGCAGAACTGAGGCCCACATTTTGTAGGTGTTTTGCAAGTGAAAAGAAACACCCCATGCCCCTTCCTGTAAAGGAAGATGTCAGGGCATTCACTCCTTCAACCTTTTCTGGGGCAACTGGCTAGAGATATAGACAATGCTTGATAAATTCTTGTGGCATTGAATCAAACCAGTGTTTATCGGGACGTTGAGGGAGAGAGGAGTAAAAGAATTGTCCCTTCGACAAGCAGAGAGTAAGAACCAGGTAGGGTTTCTCTCTGTGTGTGCAGACACTTCTTTCTTGTTAGAAAACAACTGTCCCCCACATGGGGAGCACTCTGGGGGAAATGAGGCAGCCGTCGCACACACACGCAGCCACAGGGCCTGGCCAGGCACTTAACCGGGGGGCGTGCCTGTGTGCGCCTTTGGATGACCACAGTGGAAGAGTGCACCTTGTCTGAAGGCGACTTCTCAGCTCTACCCATTAATCACCATGTGGGAATATGGGCCCAGAAGTACTAAATATTTAAAAAAAAAAAAAAAATTAGGGGGCACCTGAGTGACTCAGTTAAGATTAAGCGTCTGCCTTCAGCTCAGGTGAGGATCTCCAGGTCCTGGGATTGAGGCCCGCATCGGGCTCCCTGCTCAGCGGGGCGCCTGCTTCTCCTTCTTCTCTTTTGCCCCCGCCTGTGCTCTCTCTCTCTCTCTCTCAAATGAACAAATAAAATCTTAAAAAAACATTTTTCCCCCCACAAGAGGCCAGGTTTCTAGATTTTAATCATGAATTTTCTAGATTTTAAATGGTGACAAGTTAGTTTTTCAAAATGCCAGGTCGGTCAAATGTAAGACCCACAGACCTCTGCACAACAGAAAACGTAAAAATAACTTGGTTGCGCATAAGATTTTATCATAGCCATGGTTCTTCTGGAGAGCGAGGTCACTGGTGGACTCAGCGGAGTTACATCCCCACGCCGGTCTTTCGCTTGGTGATGTTGCTGTCTTATGAGATGATAGAGTAAATCAAGGAAACACATTTTCAACTTGACCTTCTAGCCTCTGGCCTTATAAAGAACCAGCCATGAAAATGGAAGGGGGAGCAGCTGATCACACGATGACAGGACTCCTGAGACGGAGCTCTTGATAAGTCGGGTTGTTCATACTTAAGACTTTCCGTGCTCACCGCCAGGAAGGCTCTGCCCCACCCTGGATCCCCAGCCCAAGCTAAATGTGTTCTGCGATTATGCAAAGCATTTCCCCCCAGCTTCTTAGGAAAAATATAAACATACAGAAAAGACCAAGCACGTACAGTGGATCCCAAATGACCACCACATCTCTTCGATTACTATTCAAGTGTATTTGCTTTCTTTTTTAGTTTGAATTCATTAGCCAACACATAGTACATCATTGTCACTGTACGTTTTGCTTTAACATGGATCTTTCCGTTCGTCCCTCCCTCTGTCCATTCATCAGTGTGTCTCCTTCTAGTTCCTGCTCTGGTTTCAGTTCAGGTTGCTACAGGGATCGCGACAAAGAACATCCGTCAGGCCTTTTCTGGCACAAATGAAACCCAACACAAGTAGTTTGGGGGACAGGGAGAAGGGTGTTGGCTGAGAACTGAAGTGTTCCAGAATGATGGCTTCCAGCATGACGGCCCCCAGGGCCCACGCTGTCCAGGAATCTCTCCTCTCGCCGCATCTCTGCACACACTTCTCAACTGGCCTCGTCCTTGGCCACCGCTTGCCCCATGTGGCAGCACTGATGGCTCAGGCTCAAGTCACCCTCACGTTAGCTCTCCCGGCCAAAAGGGCCAACCTAACTCCCGATGACCTGGTAAAATGCCTGCTGATGGCCCTCTTTGACCAAACTTGGGTCCCCTGCCCACTCCTAGAGCCCTGTGCAACTCTGTGGGGGGGGAGAGGAGGGGAGGTGTGGCTCCCCAAAGGGAAATGGGGGTGCTATTCCCCAAACCAGGGGTGTGGATGCTGGGCAGAGAGAACCGTGACTGTCTGCTCCGCTGCCCTGTCCTCGGGGTTGGAGCCACACAAGGTCAGCACCCCACACACAAGCCACCAGGGGCTCCCTGTTTCCCCACCCCCACCTCTTTCTTTTTGGACATTCAGAAAATGCTTTTTAGACATTCTTTTTCCTTGAGGCCCCTGATGTTTTGCCCTGGTGTGAGAGCGTGGGAATTAAAGACAAGAAGACAAGCTCTAGGTCAGGGTGCAGCAGGAGGGCCTCAAGGCCCGCTGCCGGCCAGCAGCCCCCGCCACCCCCCAGGTTGGCAATCCTTTGGCAGTGTCACCTTTCCTTCTTTCCCTCGCCGCCTTCCTCTTCTGCCCTCCTTCCTGCCTCCCCCAAATACCTCTGGGCCATGCTCAGTACAGATCCCAAGAAAGTATGCGTGACTAACATGTAGTGCCCACTCCCTGGGCACTCCCAGTGAGGTGAGAGGCAGGTGACCTGTGACGGCCTGTGAGGACAGGGCAGGTGTGGAACTGAGCTCTGAACTGAGACTGTCTTTCGGGGTCTCCTCCTCAGCTTGAGATCCAGACGCTGTCCTTGAGGTGAGCCAGTTAGCTTGCGTGGGTTCGCCTTAGTCAGACACAGGGAGCTTGCCTTGGAGACCGGAATGCCAGATCATTGACTCAGAGGGCACACTGTAGCTGGCAAGGTAGCCAGGCATCTCCTCCCAGTAGCCCCGCTCTCCCTGAGCCCCGACTCACGTGATTGTGCGGGGCTGCTGCGGATGGTACCGTGGACAGAGCCCACCCCTGTCCCGGGTGAGTAGCTCCCGCTTCCCTCCCAGACTGCGCCCATGGCGAGGGCATGAAACAGAGGTGGCTGGGCTCTGGCTTCCATCTTTACCCAGGTCTGCCCGTTGGAGGCCCCTGTTTTGTCTCATGTTGTAGAAGGGGGCAGACCTCGTCTGTCTGCTGAGCTAGAAGGAAAGCAGTGCCAGGCGTGTCATTTGACAGGATTGGAAGGCTCTCGAGAACTCTTAGGGGTAAAAAGACAAGTTGAGAGAAAAAATCATCCAGGCTCCTGAGGTGGCCCATGAGGCCCTCCCTTGCTTGCCGGCCTCCGACATGTCCTGCCCTCACCCTCGCGGGCTGCTCCCACACTCACGTGTCTGTTTCTCAGGCCAGCAAGCTCGCTCCCACCTCAGAGGCAACTCACCGCTGTCTCTGTCCCCAGATGCTGGCTTGGCCATCTACTCTTTATCATGTAGATGCTTGTTTCAGTAAGAGTCATCTCTTCAGGGGCCTTTTCTGACCATCCAGTCTCAGTGGCCCAGCAGGGTCACTGCCCCCGCCAGGTCACTCTGATCTTCCACGTAATGTTTGCCATTTTCTGAACCGCCCTTGGTGTCTGCATGTTGCTATGTCCAGCGTAGCAGTCAGGAGCACGGACTCTGAGCCGGATGGCCTGTGTTTGGACCCTGGCTCTGCCACTTCTTAGCCGTCTGACCTTAAACAAGTTCCTTAACCTCCATGTCCCCCTGTTTCCTTTTACGTAGCTGGGGCAGTAATAGTGGCACCACACATGGGGGCTGTGTGGATTAACAAGTTTCTGTGCGTAAAGTGCCCACACCGTGCCCGGGACGTGGTCATTATTGGCCTCAGTGCCTGAAACATTTCGGGCAATTAATAGCTCTTTCTTGGAGAGAGTGACACCTTCCTGGGCACTGTTAGGGGGGAGCTGCTGGCCTGGTGGGGGGTGGCGCTGGCATGGGTGTCTGCCATCCCCTTGAAGCACCCCAGAGATGCTGCTGACTCTTGGTACTCTCTGAGATGTTGCAAATCTAAGTGGAGCCTACGGCCAGTCACAGGTGGCACTCTGGTGGCCAGGGGAGAGGCCGGGGTCACACCCAGGAGTTCATGGGCCCTGTGGGGGAGGCCCCATGAGCCATCATGGTTCTGGCTGCTCTGACAAGGCTGGGGATGTCTAATGTATTTTCAGCACAAGTCTGCCATCCGTCATTGGTCAGATAAAGCCCGGGGACTCAGGGTGGGAAACCAGGCTATTCTAACAACTGCCTGTGGGGCGGGAGAAGAGACACCGGCTCCTCCAGTTACCGCGGCTCCGGTGTGTACGAACGTGTCAGACCACATATGGGCTCTGGCTTTGCTCTTTTACTGTGTGGGCCCCACAGCGTCGCTGAGTGACCCCTTCCTTTTCTCCTCTGTGCAGCTTTGCGTTTGGCTCCCTGATTTCTGCCGTCGACCCGGTGGCCACTATTGCCATTTTCAATGCGCTTCACGTGGACCCAGTGCTCAACATGCTGGTTTTTGGAGAGAGTATCCTCAACGACGCAGTCTCCATTGTCCTGACCAAGTGAGTGTCCTTTCTTCAAGGCCGCCGCTGAAGGTCCTGGTGTCAGAGAGACAGCTGTTCCCAGGCAGCTGCACGAACAGCTGCTTGTCCTCTGGGTGGCCGGGTCACGCGCTTCTCCGTCTTCTGTCCCGACAAGCCCTCACGCACCCCAGTGGTGCTGTCAAGGCCCAGGCTGAGCAGAGGCAAGCCCGCCCTTTAGGACCTTTCCGCAGTGGTTTCAAGGGCAGCTTCTTGTCCAGGTCCCAGGGGTGCTTATTAACCAGAGCAGTCCCAGGCCCCGCCCTCCCAGCATCTGATTCAGTTGCTCTGGGGTGATACCCAAGAACTGAGGTGCTTTATTAGTTCCAGCATAGGAGGGAGCAGCCAGTTGAGGGATGGGGGTGTGGACAGCTTCGGTGCAGACAGAAACGGTAGGCAGAGGCCCTGCTCTCCCACTGAGGGGCTGTCGCCCAGCACCTTCCTTTCCCCGGTGGAGAATGAGCCAGCGATGCTCACACACGTCCCAGCTCGAGATGCTTGCATGAAAGCTGCTTGGGACACTGTAAATCTCTTTTTCATCTGTTCATCAGTATCACTGCCCTTGTTGATAGGATCTGAGAAATGATAGATGAATCCTAAAATGTCAAGAAGCCACTGAGAAAAAGAAATGACTCTAAGGTCATCTCACATGCGTCTCTCTGATGCAGGATTGTTTCCTTGAACTCTGTCTTTTGTAGTGTTCATTAGCATGTATGGGCAGGAGACCCAGACAGTTTTAGCAAAACCAGAGAAGACACTGGCAGTCAAAGCAGTTGGAGGAAAGAGCTCTGGACAGCATTTCACAGATCAGCTAAGAGAACCTTAGGAGCCAGTCTGTGTTCTGCTAAAGAAAAACCTGTTTCCTTTGTTGGCAGATTCCTGGTCAAGCATAGCCACTCTGTGGATGTTGGCATTTTCTTAAAAGCTTTATTATAGACTACATTCAGGTTCTTTACGTTAGAATAAAATGATGTTTTATAGTGGGAGGAACTCAGGTTTTAGAATCAGGTTGATGCCACTCACAGCTATGTGGCCCTGGGTCAGCTCCTTTACCTCTCTGAGCCACATGCTTCTCAGCAGTAAAGCAAGGGTGATAATGCCCCAGCCTAGGACTGGGTTTGAGGATTGAATAAATACTATCCTGTGTGAGAAGCAGCAGACATCAGTTAATGTTAGATCCTTTCCTCTTCTATGCCTGTCCCCCAGTTACCATTTCCTGTGTTTGTCCTAGTTTTGTCCTATTCTTGCAAGAAGAACTTTACCAAATGTTGCTTAATTGCAACCTTAATTAGCAGACCTTAAAATAAAAAAAACTTTAAAACATTTTTATTATTCTAAAAGTAATACATATATTCTTCATACAAAATTTAGAAAATTAGAGTACATGCATTATTACTAACCAGAGATAATTACAGTTAACATTTTGGAAGTCTGCCTGTGTTTTATGTAGTGGGACGTATGCCCTGTATACTGTATTGTAACTCTTCCATTGAGCAGAGTGGAAAAATAATCTTCCATAACCTTATTTTCCTGGTTACAGAGTAGTTCATTCTGTGAACTCCCTGGGATCTGTTTAGCAAGTTCCCCACTATTGGCTTTTTCACGTTTCTCTTGGCAAAGATTTCTGTAGCTTTATTAGGCAATTATCGCAGTAATATTTAAGATCTACTCCGAAAGCCTTTTCACTTTCGGGTTTTGACTTTTGTCTCGTGTCCTGGTGGCTGCACATACTGAACATTCACGATAAAGAATTTTGTTCAAATTGGCGATGGCATCATGAGTTATTTTTATACATTAGGAGCTCAACTCAACTGCTTTTTCTCTAATGTGTTTTGTTTTTAAAAATCTGTCAGAAGTAGGACCTTTTCTGAGCTTCTCCTGGACTCTTTGCCACAAGAAGGTTAAGGAGGAGGAGCTATTTTCTTTTGAAAGTGAGAAATGATGGAGTCACTGTAAGCAGCCACAGTTTCTTCCTGGAAAAGTGCTCTTGAAGGCCAAGGTCGCGTGTGATGACAGTTCCCAAAACTGGAGCCGTGGGCCGCATGCATATGTGTGCGTTCTGCAGGCTGGGCGGGGGCGGCGGGATGCTAAAGGCTGGCTGTCCACCCTCAGCATCTGGTGAGGGCCCTCCATGTGTCAGACGTCGCTCAGAGACAGCTGGACTTGACAAGGTCAGTCCAGGGTGGGAGAAGGATGCTCCCAGAGGAGTGAGTGCAGTGCCTGGAGTACGAGAGGGAGACAGCTGCTCTGAGGGGTAGGAGTGAGGCTTCTCAGCCAAGCTGTCTCATGAGCCTGTAGGCATTTTCAGGCTGGAAAGACAATGGGCGTGGTAGGCGTGCCTGTTTTGGGGGGCTGGGGAGCAGGACAGGAGGGGGCTGTTGTCACCTTTCCTTGGTTATTAGATAGACTCACATCTTGTTTGAGAGTCTACTTCATAAATGATCGCTCTCGAAGCGACCTGACACACTTATCTTTGCAACTGAATGTGTGAATAAATTATACCCCTTTTTTGATGTGTTCATTTTCATAAGTGCCAAAAAAGCTATCTTTTGTTTCTTCATTAACTTTAATTAAATTAGTTTTAGCTTTGATTTGTTAGTATGATGATTTATTCTTACAATAACTGCTATAGAGGAAACCTTTTTGTGCTCTCCAGCTGCAAAGTAGGCTCATGAAATGGATCCTGAAGCAGCTTTGTCTCATGTTCTTTTAAGTGAGAGAAATAAAAAAGGTAGAAATTTGCCAGGCCAGAAAGAGTCCAAATTCTACTTTCAATTATCCTGAGTTCAGAAACCATTGGCCTCTGTCCTGGGTCTGCTGTCCACCCTTGATGTGACCTTACCAGCAAGTCACTTCCATGGGGCCTCTGCATGAAAACAGTGGCCCCAGCCAGTGGACCAGCTTTAAGGGGTGGCGGCTGGACACTGTGTGGTGGTAGCCTGCAGGTCCATTTGGGAACTGTGGGTGAGCTTAGCCTTCAAAAACACTTGCCCAGTGAGAACCCATGTTGGCTCTCAGCAGTCCCCAAGGTAGGGTGTTAACCTGTGGTCAACTGGGAAAGAAGGGGTTGGAGGAGATGGTGTGTTCAGGTGAGTTTGGAAAACTTTATGTGAAAAAAGTTAGATTTCTTTTTTTGCAGGACTTTTCAGAACCTTTATTATGTTATATGTTACACTGTGCTGTGAATCATCACAGAAAACTTCCTGAGGTTATTTGACCAAACTACCCTTTAATCAGAGATTATCCTGCCTTAAAATTATACCAATTCATGAAACGCTGATTAATGAAACCAGATATTTCTATTGATAATTCTTTGTTTTGTTTACTGAGTGCCTTTGTATACTAGGCTCTGCCTTAGGCCCTGGACATGTAGCAGTGAACAAGATGGACACAGGCAACTCATGAATGACTCATGAGTTGGCACTTTCTGTGAAGAAGTCAGGTTCCAGGAGAGCCCAGAATATGTGAAGGCGTCAGGGCAGGTGTCCCTGAGGAAGTGACACTGACCCTAGGTTCCGAGGAACAGATTGGGAAATGAGCTGGGACCAGGGAGCAGTGAAAGATGACCATGGTCCCATGACAGTGGGACCCTTCCTGAGTGAGGAGGAGATGGGGTCATGAGGTCTGGCAGACACAGGGGTCCAGTGCTGCTCAGACCGGGCTTCCTCCTGAAAAGCAGTAGGAAACTGTCGATAGGTTTGGGCAGGCCAGTGACCCGATCAGATTGTGCATTTGAAAAGGATCATGCAGGCCAGTGAGTGGAAGGAAGACAAGGATGTTTAGAAAGAGCGATGAGGCATAAGGCCTGGGACAGAGGATGGTAAGGAGAGAGAGGGAGAGAAGTGGTTGGATCTGAGAGGTGGTCTGAAGGTAGAATCCATTAGGAGGAGGATCTTTAATGAGGATAACTCCATTATCATGGTATAATGGTTTTCCCTTTCGGGATAAAACCATTAATTGAATTTAATGGCTTCTAACATTTTACTTTGTTCTGTTATCCTAGAAGGAAAGTTCTTTCAGTTCTTCCTGATGCCTCCTAACCCACTCTCTCGGCCCTTTCCCTGTGACATTTCTTCTTTAGGTTGCTCCGTGCTCAGATTTCCTGCCGATGCTTCAATTCCAGGTTTTATCCCAGGATCCCTGCTGCTGTCCCCTCCCCCCGCAACTAGAAGCACTCCCCATGGCTCCCTAGGGCCTACGGGGTGAAATACCAACTCCGAGCTTGGTCCATTGCCTTTCCCAGGGCTACCATGGCAGCTGGTCGTACTTCTCTCTTGCCACCGTTCTCCCCACCAGTGCCCCCACCCCGTCCCGTTCCTGGGTTCTAGCCATGCTGATTTACGTAATTGGATGCTCCCAGAATGTGCTGTGCGTTCTCGGGCTCCCTGCCTCTGCACGTGCTGTTCCCTCTGCCTGGGGCACTTGCCCTCATTTCCTCCCCCATTAACTCTTCTTTTTCTAAAGCTGAATCCAGCCCACACATCAGGAGGAGCCTTCCTTGACCACCACCCGGGCTGAGTTAGACGCACACCCTGTGTTTCTGCAGCCCTTTGCCCTCCCCCCAGTGTGGTCACTTGTTCTCTCCTTGTTTGTCTTCCTTACCAGACAGAAGGAGCCCCAGCAGGACAGGGACTCTGCTAGGCTCTCTGAACCCCACCCCCCCCCCCCACCCCCCGCGAAAGCTAACACAGTAGGTGTTAGTTCACAAAGTAGGTGAACAAGTAAGTGACCTAACCCAGTGATGGAAGGAATGAAAGACTGCATAAGCAAAAAAGAAAAAAAAGAGTCAGTGTTGAGTTTTAGTTGATTTCTAACAACTTTCTCTATAACATTTTAACTTCTTTCTTGTTTTTCTTTTACTTCCTAGCACAGCTGAAGGTTTAACAAGGAAAAATATGTCAGATGTCAGTGGGTGGCAAACATTTTTACAAGCCCTTGGCTACTTCCTCAAAATGTTCTTTGGCTCAGCAGCACTCGGCACTCTCACCGGCTTAATCTCTGCATTAATATCCTTTTAATATGGTGAACACGTGTGGCTGAGTAGATTTTCATTATTATCTCCATCTCCAGCCAGCTCCCCGTCTTCCTTAAGGGGCCCGTTTCAGTCTAAAGCAGTGTTGGAAGGAGGACCTTTGTGTACTTTTGTCTTAAGGAGCACTTGCATTGAAACCCAAGGACTTCGAGATGTGACGTGCAATTTAGGACGTCCCTTTTCAGAGTGTCGTGGTCGTGTACACTATTGCCTCTCAGTCCCACCGTTAGGGAAACTTCTCACTTGAGATTTTCAGGTTCCCCTGTCTCACTTGTCACAGTCAGAAAACTGGAAATTAACTTCCTTTGAAATTACCAAACCGAGAGTCTTTACCCCACTGAAAGTGTTTCTCTGGAGGGCCAGAAAAGAGCCTTTCAAAGTGAGTCCGTCCAGGGTGTTCACGCTGACTGCACTGCTGAATGGCCCATACACTTTTCTAGCCAGAGGAGGAGAGAGGCTCTCAGGACCAATGACACCTTCACTGCTGTAGAAAATTCATCATGTTTAAAATAGGAACAGGCACCAGACCGTTTCTGTGGGAGCCCAGGCCTGTGTCTCAGGGAGCCGGCCACCTGGCCCTCCTCCACGAGCAGTGTGTTCCACAGATGGCCGGAAGAGCCACGCTTGCCTGTGACAGGCACGCTGGTCTGCCATCCTGTTGAGTTTTCCCTTCCCCCACTTTGCCCAGAAGTCTAAAGTCTCCATTGTTGGCTGATAGCTTTTCATATTGTACCAATAAACAGAATGGAAAACTTTTTCTAGATCAGTATTTTCCTCCACATTTATCTTTCTCCTGGACGGGGAGGGGATGGAGAAGCACCGGCTCTGCGGAAGCCAAGTGGATGGGCACTGTGAGCCCCAGCACGGGCGCGTGGGCTGTATTGGAAGAGAGAGAAGATTCTCCTTTCACAGGAGCATGAGTTTAGAAATCTCCAGGAATGTGAAAGAAGGTCCTCCAGTGGGGCACTTTCCCCGAGAGTTCTGGACACCCCTTCAGCTGTCTTATCTGATGTTGGAGAAAGGGGGGAAAGCGTGACATGGCCCTGGAAGGGACCTGGCAGCACGGGCTGTCCTCCTGGCCGCGGCCCCAGCCTTGCCCCCGCAGCCCCGCACACTGCCAGCCTTCCCAGTCAGCATTTTTCAATGAGTTGACTTAGGTTGATTTTAATTTTTCCAGTTTTCCAGAATTTCCAGTTCTTAGTGTTTTGTGAGATCCCCCTTCTTAAAACAACAGTCTCCCTGCAAAGGAAAAGAAAACAATGGATATTCACATGTTACTCTGGGATGTTCCGAAGCCTTTCGTATCCATTGCCTACCCTGTATATTTGGAAGGCAACATCTCCCATCAACTGTCCCTTGGTTCTTTTTCCTTGACAACTGTTATTTACGTGCTAAAGCATATTGACTTGAGGAAAACGCCTTCCTTGGAGTTTGGCATGATGATCATTTTTGCTTATCTTCCTTATGGGCTCGCAGAAGGAATCTCCCTCTCGGGTAAGTGGCAGAAACATTGAACTGCTGGGGTTGATGGCACGTTGTCCTGCCTGGTGGAAGAGATTATGTCAGTGGGGTCACTTCCAATCACAAGAGACAGTCACAGCTCAGTAAAGCTTAAGCAACAAAGGGGATTTACTGGCCCGTTAGGGATACCTCTGGATTTAGACCTGGCTGGGTTCAGGGGCTCAGTGTTGTCATGGCCACATCTTCCCTTCACCCAGCACCCTGTAGCAGAGATCAAAATGTCACTTCCCGTGTTGTCCCTTTCCCAGACCAAGTCCCCGAAAGGGCCTTCACTGAAAGGATGGGGTCAGACCGCCAAGGGCAGTCAGTTCCCTGGCCCGGCCCTGGGCCCTGGCCCCCACTGATCTGCATTCTATCATGATAGTTTTGCCTTTTCCAGAATGTCCTACAGATGAAATCACATAGCATACAGACTTTTGTGTCTCCTTTCTTTTGGTGATCATAATGTTGTTGAAAGACACTCATGTTTTTGCACGTGTCAGTAGTTTACACATTCTTAGTGCACCATATTTTAGTCATTCATTTGAAGGACATTGGGGTTTTTCCAGATTTTGGGTATGAATATGTGTGGCTATTTTCATTTATCTTGGATAAATACCTAAGAAGTGAAGTTGCAGGGTCATATGGTAAGTGTGTATTTCTTAGAAACTGCCAAGTGTTTTCCAAAATGACTGGGCCATTTTGCATCCCCACTAGAATGCCTGAGAGAGTTCTAGCTGCTTCCCGTCCTCGTCAACACTTATTTTAATTTTTAAACATTTAGCCGTTCTGATAGGTGTGTGGCAATTTGATTTTGACGTACTTTGGTATAATTCTCATTATATTCCACTTGGGGTTCGTTGAGTTTCTTGGGTTTATAAATTACGGGGTTATAGCTTTTCACCAAATTTGGGAAATTTTTACCCATTTCTTAGACACTTTTTTCTGTTTTCCCATCTCTTCTCCTGTTGGGAGTCCAGTTACTAAAATTACAATTGACAGTGTTCTATCATCCCATAATATACTTTGCCTTTTTAATTTTTTTCAATCTTTTTTTCTTCTGTCTATGCTTTACTTTGGCTCATTCCTCTTGCTGTGTCTTTATGTTCATGGGTCTTTCCTTCTGCCATGCTCGCTGTCCTGCTAGTCCATCCAGTGTATTTTCCACTTCAGATGTGTATTATTCATACACAGGACTTCCCTTTAGGTCATTCTTATATCCTGCATTTCTCTCCTGACCGTGTTCGTGATTGTCTGTACATTCTTCAGCCGATGGAGCATGTTTGTAACAGCTGCTGTGACGTCCTTATTTGCTAATTCCATCATCTCCATCAGTTCCAAGTCTTTCTCGGTCAGTGTCTTCTGCTTGTAAGTCATGTTTTCCTGCTCTTTGCTTGCCTGTTAATTTTTGATTGGATGCCAGTCACTGTAAACCTTAATATGTTGTTGAGTTACTAGATTTTTCTTGTATTCTTCATAGAATTTTGGATCTTCTTCCGTGGTGTATCCAAGTTTCTTGGAATCCGTTTAATCATTTTGAGGTTTACTTTCAGACTTTGTCCTCAGGCCTAGAGTAACACTAGGAAGTAACCCAGTGCCCTTCTAAGGACTCTGTGTCCTGTCTCCTGTATTACAAGGTCGCCCCACTCTGGCCTGTGGGAACACAAACTTCCCAGCCCTGTGCCTGCTTCAGAAATTGTTGGCCTGTTCCTTATCAGTGGTATGTCTCCCTAGGCTCGTAGGATCTCACCCCACATGTGTACAGATCAGTATAATCCAAGATTCAAGGGGATACTGCTGTAGCCCTCGAGAACTCTTTTTCTGTGCAGGCCTCCTTCTCTGTTACCCTGGCTGCTTCAGGTCCCGCAGCTCTCATTTATCTCTTCTCCGCTAGACTGACTCTGCTGGGCTGGGTTTTGGAGTCCCCCCGCCCCCCTCCCTAAGCCTCAGCCTGGAAGCTCTGTCTGGGCTGGGCCAGGGCCTGGAGCGGGAGTGGCCGGCCGCTGTTTCCCTTGGGTCAGGAATGTTTCCCTCCTGACAACCCTACCCTGTAGTACCCAGCGTCAGAAGACACCTTTGTTTCCTATCTTTGATCAGGTTTTCTAGTTGTTTGTAGCAGGACTGCAGTTGGCATAGCAAAATGGAAGTCCCCAGTGGTTTTTATTTACTCCATTGAGCAGAACTCTCCTTCCTCATAGATCGTTCTCTAGAATTACAGTCGGTGGGCAGATCCTGCCAAGGAGGAAGCAGAAAGGACTCTGGCCATTTTCACTAGAGAACTCTTGGTAAACCTCAGGGTTTTGTTTGTTCTTAATTTGATTTGTTCCCATCAGTTCTATTGGATAATTTCATCCCAGTATCTGCCATCGAGTTCCTTCTCTTATCTTTCCTGAATTTTGGCACTTACATAAACAGTACCTGTGAGTCATTTGGCCCAACTTGGCTATTTTTACCTCTGTTTTTCTAAACTGTTCCCCACCCCTTTGAGATGAACACCGAGTACCTGCTGGCAAAGATGTATTTCCTGCCTCCATTTGGAATTTGTGATCAAAACCAGGGAGTGTTTTTCTTGTCTCCAGAGCGTCAGTGTTTTCTGTTTGTAGAGCTTCACTTTTTTGAGGGCTTTTGCTAAACAAACCAGTGGGCAGTGGGGTCAGAAACAGCACATGCGAGCCAAGAGCAGGCTCAGCTACCTCTGGGCCGTTGGCTTGGCCCATATTTGACTTTGGGATATTTGTCACATGGTTTTCAGACAAGGGTAGGATAGCCCTGGTGTGTGTGAGGACCCTCCAGTCCCTCTGTGAGAGTACAGCCGGTGGGGGGGTGATGTTTGCTATCCCCTCCCCTTCCTTCTCCTCCTGCACTTCTGTCACAGAGGACTGAGGAAGCAGTTACCAGCAATACACAGCAGGGTGCTGTTCTCCAAATCCCACACCCTAATCACGTGTTTCAGACACAGTGGTTAAGGACGCCAGACCTGCGTTGGATCCCTGCCCCGCCCCTCATTAGCTGTGCAACCTCACAGAGCCGCCTTAACCACTCTGAGCATCCACTTCCTCCTCATGAAATGGACGGTATAGAAGGGCACCCCCCACCCAAGGCCCTTGGGTCAGGGGTTAAAGGGAACAATGCGAGTAAAAGTCCTGACAAGAGACATGCTGGGGTGACACTTCCTGCTGGCCCTGACACCCTCAATATGTAAATTAGTGACACGCCTTTTCCCTGTCACAAACATCCTGGTTTCAGTAGCAAATTAAACAGGCCCCCTAGTTATGAGTTAGTGTTCGCTGTTCTCAGAATCTTTGTTCTGACTCTGTCAGTCTTAACGAGTCTAGTCATTGCCAGTTTCAAGGGCCACTTTGCCCTCTGGCTCTGAAGATCTAGGGCTGAACAGACCCCACCTTTGCAGTTTAGCCAGCAGTGGGCTGAGGGAGGGGGATTGGGGCAGAGCGACTCACTATGGTGAGTCACGGAGGAGCGACGTAACCTCCATTCAACCAGAGGTAGAACGCATGGTGTGGCGCTCCTGTGCCCGGGTGCACAACCGGGGGTTCCTCAGTGCTGCCTGTGGGAGAAAACCCACAAGCCACTGATCCTAGGAGACATGAAGTACGCCTGGGTCGGTTCTCACTACAAAATCCTGTGCAGCCACCAAATAAATGACTTATTTGTGCTGCCGTGGAAAGAACTCCCAGATAGATTGCAAAATTTTAAGAAAAAAAGATTGATCATCCATTCAACAAATACTTAATTAAATGCCTCCTCTGTGCCAAGAACTGTCCTTGGTACTGGGGCTGTCCTTAGTAAACAAGACCACATCAGGCTCCTACCTGCCGAAGAACGATGGTAAGCAAGTAGGCAAACACGTACGGGTAATTTCGGGTACTGAAGAACGGGCAGGAATGAGAGAGATCAGAGCAATGTGATAGTGACGTGGGGGCAGATACATCATGCGGTAGGGGGTCAAGAAGGTCTCCCCAAACAGGTGGTGCCTGAGCTAAGACCTGTGTGCTGAGAAGGAGCCAGCCCAGGCAGGACCTGGGGCGGCCGTGCTGAGCGGGACACTGCTGTGAGGGAGCTTGGCGCACTCCAGGAAGAGCAGGAAGACCAGAGAGGCAGGGACCCCGGCTGGTAGGGTTCTGTAGGCCCCAGAAGGAATTGGGGTTCTGTTATATGTGCAAAGGCAGGTAAGTGTTGGAGGCCTCAAAAATGCCTCTGGGGGAAAAAAAATTCCCTCTGCTGGTAATCCATGCTGCTTACATAATGGGATCCTTTTACTGAGTGCATTTTAAAGGCAGATTAGCTTTATTATGGCATAAGAAAAGAACTGGGGCCTGTGTCGGGACCTTTAATAGTAGATTCCCAGGGGCAAGACGGTGTGAATGGAGATTCTCTTAACTCTGGACCTCTGAGTCTGGATGTTTTATAGCAAAACACAGCAAGGTGCGGTGCAGTGGAAATTGTACCACAATAGACACCCTTCACCTTCTGCCTTTGGACTTGAGTCTCTATTCATCATCATTTGTGACATTTAAAAATAGTGGATTTAGCTGAAATGAGAAATGGATTTCCTTCCTTCCTTCCTTCCTTGAAGCTGGCCATTTTGTTGCACTAGTTATCTACTGCCTCAAATGATTTTGCCTTCTGAAAGAAATACACGTGTCAGGAATTCTTCCTTACAGGGCATTTTTAAAAATACCCATGCCTTGGGGGGCCAGGGTGGCTCTGTTGATTAAGTATCCGCCTTTGGCTCAGGTCCTGAACTCAGGGTCCTGGGATCGAGCCCTGCATCAGGCTCCCTGCTCAGCGGGGTGTCTGCTTCTCCCTCTCCCTCTGCCTCTGCCCCCTACTCCTGCTCTTGCTCTTGCTCTGTCTCTCTCATAAATAAATAATCTTTAAAATAAAATACCCATGATTTTAGCTGTAGAAGTGAGCCTGTCTACTCCATTTACCCGCTGGTGTTTTCACAGCCTGTGTGGTGGCGGCTCCGGTGGGTGAAGGTGGTCTGGGTGGTGGAGAGGGCTCATATGGCAGACACTCGAGTTGTCCCTGAGGATTTCGCATCCGCTGCTGACTCTTTCCTTCAGCCTGCAAAACTCGAGAGATGTCCTGACCTTGGACTAGCCCTGGGTCAAGGTGGTGGCTGGCTGTTCACTCTTGCATTGGCCTGAGGGTCCGTTATCATAGGGTCCAAACTCAGACTCCAGAAGGGACTGTTTATCTGTCCAGAAAATGTGTTGACATTTCAGTTAGTTGCCGCGATTACAAGCTGGGAAGATTTCCCATACGAAACAGATTTCTGGCATCTCTCAAAAGGCCAGAAGGAAGACTGGTCAACACTGAGCCCTCCCTTCCACAGGGAGAACTTCAGAGATGGGTTTGTGCCTTCTTCGCCCACATGTTGGTCATCCTTTTTTTGTCTTTCTTGTCTGGCCCCTGAAGCTTCTGAGTTTGCAGCCCTGACCTGGTGCCCAGACTGACCCGCCAGCCAGAGCCCTTCCGCACTGAGCCGGCCCTCTTGCTGCAGAGCACTGCGGCAGGACGGTCTAGAGGGTGGGCAGGAAGGCTCCCCGGGGCTCCAGCAGTGGATGCTGCTGCTCAGTCCCAGGGCAAGTTTCGCTGTCACCTCTGACTTCCCAGATCCTTTGGTTTTCCGGAGAGGGTGTTTTGTGTTGGGACTGCTGTGGGTGGGACAGCAGTGTCAGTGGAAGGCCGCTCGTGTCAAAACCTAAACATGGCTCAGGCACCTCTGGGTTTGACTTTTATTTCGAGGTGAGAATTCCGGGGTCTCCGCTTTGCCAGGGAGTTGATAACCCTTCAATGACTAAAGCAGACCAGTGAAGCAAAATGCTTTGGAAACGCAGAGGCTGGGAACTTTCCGCCCTGGGTGGCGATGCTAAGGATCAAGTCCATAAAAACTGAAACGTATCGGTGCCACGATCAAGCCCCAGCTTGCTCGTCTGGACCCCGGGACTAACCACGCCGTGCATGGAGCTGTCGGGGTCGTGAGGCTAAGCCACGTGCAGGGCCTGTCGCGGCCCGGGCTGAGCCAGTCTGAGCCGCCCCACCGCCATTGGGTGCAGTTCCAGCCTCAGCTTCTGGTCTCTGCCCCTTCTGTCTCACTTTGCTTTGCCTTCCCTGGATTCTGTGGCAGTGTCAGGAAGGTTCAGCAGGCCGGGGTGCCCCCCCCCGGGCCCCGCAGGAGCATAGTGGGAGACCAGCCGGAGGTCTCGGTGTGTGCGTTCTCACCTAGCAGAGCAGCGGTTCGCAACGCCGCTTGGGCTGTAGTCCTCGAAGGACACGGGGAGCCTGCCCTCTCCTTTCCCTGTCCCATCCTGTCAGGTGTGCCTCGTGGGATTGTGGGAAGCTTCCCTGGAATGTTCCTGGCAGCCTCCTTGGCAGGGAAGAATGAAAGAGCATAGGAGTTTGCCTTGTTCGCACCAGGGGGTGGGTCTGCCTGTGGGAGAGGAGGGAGTATGCAGGGGGGAGGGTGGGTTGAAATGGCTCCGAGGGCGGATTTCACCCTTTTCCAACTTTTCCAAGTGGAAAGTCAGCCCAGCATCCCTGTCTACAAAGTGGCAGGAATAAGCTACAGTTCTGCTTACAAATTTTCCCTTGTAATCCATACATTTTAGCAGTTCATTTAATGAGTTTATAAAAATCTCTGCTTCCTTATGTGAAAATTAGGCCCCTTTTCTGCTGCCAAGGCAGGGCAGCCCGGAGAGGTAACTAACCCCTCTGTGCAAAGTGCTTTGGGAGTGGTTAGGGGCCGTGGGCCACGCTCAGTCCCGAGTAAGCAGCAGGAGGTGTAGACGCATGGAGAGCTTTCAGGAAAGGACGTAGATCCTTTTTTAGTCACTCCTCTATCTCTTGTTATAAGAGTAACTTGTGATAAAGGGAAAATTAAAGAAAAATATTAAAAAGTAAATAAAAATCCACCCATTCTCCACATCCAGATTCTTATGCTCCCTTTTTGCTCCAAGAGTGGCGCACCTGCACCTGTTCCATCCGTGGGTGACAGTGACAGCTGTCACTGCACCTGCTCAGCCCAGGGCCTGTGGTGATCACTCTACATGGCTTATCCCCATTGCCCTCCTGATGGGTGCAGCGAGGGTGCTGTTAGTCCCACTGCCCAGATGAGAGAGCTGAGGCGTGGAGAGGGGAAGAAGCTTAGCCCAAGGTCACCTAGCCGGTAAGGAAGCGCCAGAGACAGGGTGCCCGTAGCACTTCTCTGCAGCCTCTGGGAGGCCTTAGGTAGTACTTTCTTCCTCCTTTTTTATCCTTTTTCTGAAAACATGTAACACATGTAAAACATGTAGGGCCCAGTAACTTGCAGAAAATGTGCGATATTTGTGTATCACGTAGCAGGTGCTTTTCTGCCCTATTCATGTCTCTGTGCTTTGCCTCTTTGTTCCTCTCTAGGCATCATGGCCATCCTGTTCTCAGGCATTGTGATGTCCCACTACACGCACCATAACCTGTCCCCGGTCACCCAGATCCTTATGCAGCAGACCCTCCGGACCGTGGCCTTCCTGTGTGGTGAGTTCTGCCTCTGTGGTCCCGTGGGGGCAGGCCGGCAGCCCATGGCTCAGCCACACCCTCTTTCCCCCATGGAAAATTCCATAGAGCCACATACTTCGCTCCCTTATCTTTTGTTTATTGCTCTGGCTTTCAAATTCTATAACGTAAACCTAACTCATGATAACTTTCTGGAACATTCGATGCCTATAATTTTAAGACCAAAAATAATGAGAATAAATATGAACACCGGAGACTGATTAATGTTTATAACATCATAAAGTGACATTTCCAAAAACATGCCTCCTGGCACTGGCATCGGTGAGGGTTAGGTAAGACAAGACTCCACAGTCAAACAAGAGCCTGGAAAATCCGGGGGGAATATACGCTTTCGGTTTGGCGGCCGCAAGAGCATCGTGAGCTGACGCACATTGTGGGTGTCTGAGAAGGGGACATTGTTAGAGCTTTTTCCCAGCTTGTCCACAGGCTCCTTTCCCATGAGAGCGGCTCGAAGGGCGTAACTCGAGCGCTTGTGCGTGAGCCCTGTCGCTGCTGCACGGGGCCTGCTGTGAGGACTCTCTCTGTGAGGCAGTTTCAGTGTGAGCTCTTGCTCCCCCACACTCTGATGTACCCCCTCCCCAGCCTCCTCCGTGGTTTATACCTGGCAGCGAAGGACACGCTCTCACCCGGTCCCTTTCCACCGGCCTCCCGGGTGGCCGCGCCCCAGCTGTCATCACCAGCACCTCCCTGGCGCTGCGGTGGGGTCCGGCTGATTTTGCAGCACTGGTTCCGCGCTGTCACGCACTAGGCAGCGGGGACGGGCTGTGCAGAGGCTTCCTTCCGCAGCCAAGGGGGCTCAGGAGCCAGAGGTCAGAGGACTTGCCCACAGTCTCATGGCTGAAAAGGGAGTCTAGAATCCAGGTCTGTCTCTTCCTGGTCCTGGGGGTCTTTTTTCCACGGCATCCCACTCACAGAGTCCTAGCTAAGGTCTCTGAGCCTGACTGTCACAATTAAAGGAATATAAAGCAAACCACCCAACAATTCTGTACCCATCAGGCTGGCATGCTCCAGTTTTGCTAATACCCACTTCCGGCATGGGGATATGGGAAGTGGGCCTCGTTGACAGGCATAGCCCGATGCCCTCTTCATGGAGAGTCATCGCAGCATTGGGCTGCGCGTCAAAGCCGTGTGCTCTTTGACCCAGCAGAGCTACCCTCGGGTGGAATCTGGATATTTGTCACAAATGGTGATATCACCAGTAGAAGCCTCGGTGTCTGTTGACAGAGGATTTGTTAAACTAGCCGTGATGTACCAATATATTGGAATTTATGCCACCCGGGAAAATCATAACATAGATCTGAGTATGTTCTAAATGAGCTGATTTGGAAAGGTCACAAAAATGTTTATTAGATAAGAAAAAAATTCAAGGAGGGGAAGGGTGTGTATACGCTCCCACTTGCAGACTTGTTCTAAAAAGATACATGTTTAGAGAAGAACATGGCTGAAATGTTTTAAAACAGCCTCTCTGTTTTATGATGTTCAACTATTTTAAAATACAGTCCTTGTCTCCCTGATGATTAGCCTCTTCTGGGGGACATGACCGTGTCAGCAGGGAGCCTAGTGCTAGGAATTCACGGGGTGCTCTTTCTTGGATACACAAGTACCTGCTTGCACAGAGAGCAGCGTCGACTCAACCTGACCTGTGGAGTGAAGCCAAGAGTCGGAAATGCCCCTCTCCCTGCAGATCCTGCCGGGACAAGCTGTCTTCCCAACCTGTGGTAGCATTAAATGCATGTCGTCACTCTAGCTTTGGCTGCCCTGGCAAGAAGGTTAACCGAGGGACCTTTTCACACTAGGAATGTGGTATCTGTAGTCATTTCTCTGAATTTTTGCCACTTTGCTGCAATTGGGATCCTTGCCAATGACTGTTTGACAAAGGGACAGATTCATATATTTATCATCTTCCCCGGGTGGGAGATTATGTATTTGCATTTATTTGACAGCTGCCTCATTAAATGAGATTCTGAATAAGCAGGCACGTGCAGCTCGTGCGATAGAAGAAAACGAGCAGATCGAAGCGTGGTTTGCAGCAAGGCATCGGGTGCCGGAGTTTTCAGACAATAAGCAGAGTGTTACAGTAGATCCTGACTCGCTGTGAAATGTTTGCTTGTGTGCCGTGTCAGAGGAAAATAGTTGGGGCTGAATAATCCATTTTTTGGTTTGTTTCAGAAACATGTGTGTTTGCATTTCTTGGCCTGTCCATTTTTAGTTTCCCTCACAAGTTTGAAATTTCCTTTGTCATCTGGTGCATAGTAAGTATTTTCCTTGTTTTTTATTTAATTACTTATTTGTAGATCAATAACCACATGTTCTGGATTCACTTATGTAACTGTTAACTGCTCAAGGTCAACAGCTACATAGACACTCTTCTGTTTAAAGTTTCTTTTGTTAAAAAATCACAAACATATGATGAAGGGAGAAGGGGTGGACTTAAGGGAATGAATATCCTTGGAAAAGAATTTTTGCTTCTTTTTAAATATTAAATGACCTTGAAGATTATGGTCTTCTCTAAAAACTACAAGTTTCTATGTTTCTGTATTAGGTGGTAAAAGCAACTTTCAGAATTGAACGTATAATTGATCATAACCATGTAAAAACATCATGCATAGGAAAAAAAAAACATGTAAAAAAATGCAGCACAGTGTTCCCAGTGGTTGTAGAATTGGGATGATTTCTTTTTCTACTTTTGCTGGATAATCTATAATGCACATACTTCTCACTGTGATTTTCTTCAAATGTGTCCATTTTTGAGCGTGACCTTGGACACTTTGTTTAAAGCAAAGATTACCACAGCCTTACCTCCCAAGAGGTTCACCCAGAGCAGTCATCCCCGGTGATTCTTACCATTCAGAAGGTTCGGGAAACTTACCATTGGACTCGGGGCATCAAGGGGAAACAAATTAAAATATGAATTTAACTTAATTAAGTAATTTAAAATAGGAAAAGAAAACTTTAATCATTCACAGTGGAATCAAATCTTTTGGCAGAATGGAGTGGGGGTGGTGGGTAAATGTTTAGCGTTTAAAACAAAGGGGCAGCTTCCTCAGGCTTCAGATGGAAGGGACATGAATGGCTTCTAACATGTGGGCATTTAGCCTGGTGTTCCCAGGTCCCTCATCTGGGTCCCTCCTGTGTCTCTCACCCCTCAGTGTGAGCTCGTGTCCCATAAGCCCGCCTGCTGATCCATACTATAGTCCCTAATTTGATCTCTGTTGTCCTTTTAGATCCACTGTTAACTTAAGATAGGTGAGACACACGCCTTACTGTGCTCAGTTATCATGATTCATGTTCAGTTAACTCTTATTACCAGGGCCACTTAACAGAACCCAGCTGTTGAGACGCAGACCTTTTTTTAACACTGTCACCTACCATGTGCAAACCAGCGAGGCCTGCCTGTTTGGCATGTGGGGAAACTGAGGCATAGAGAAGCTAAAGAGCCCTAAGGGAAACGATGTTTCTCCTTGTAGCATGGGTGCTTTCACCTCTCAGTCGACAAGAGCTCGTTGATTTTGTCCCTGTTAGCTGTCCTCCAAACTCAGGTTTCAGGACAAAGAGAACAGCAAAAGTCATTTACAGAAAGTATAATAGTCTTTAGTGTGGTCACACCTGAAACACAAGTGTGGGAATGAAAGATTGGATTTCAGTGGGTGAAGCGAGGAGGTCCTCCCTCTACCATGAGCTGGGAGCAAGAGGAAAATGAGAAGATGCTCCAGAGTGGGAGCTTGGTCTCCCCCGAGGGCACAGGCCAGTCCTGCCTTTCCCGGAGATAGCCCTTGCTGTTCTGATGGGTTACCTGAGACTTGCTCAGTGGTCAAGGGCACAGGCTTTGGGGGCTGAACCAGGTTTGGGGCATGGCTCTCTGTAATAAAAGCATTGCAGGGATCTAAATTTAACAAGATATAATGCGTATAAAATGCCTGGCACTTTGTCTGACATAGAAATGTTAGATGATTGGGAGCCGTTGTTAACTTGACCATCCACGGCATACAGGCCAAAGCACACTCAATTCATGCTTCTTGAAAGAATAAACTTAGAGCCTGCCGAATGTACGTGTGTATATTGTCTACGTATTACTAAGTTAGTTATGGTAAGAACCAAGATGAAAAAAGTAAATTAATAAGTAGTTCTGGGTATCCAGTTAGATAAGATCTAAACCTTACGTAAGCTATATTTTGTTAAGACCAACTTTGGGGATGGTTAGGAACCAAAAGCCTTGGCAAGCAATTGCCAGACAGGGTGCATGTGACCTTCTAGAACCTACCTACACATTCCTTTTGCTTGGGGACTAGCATTTACGAGCAGCATTATGTGTAGGCCCTTCTCAGTCACCCCTCCTTTCCCTGAGGAGCGGGGGGCGCCCACGGGAGAGGCAGGAACAACCTTGTCTGTCCCTCCAGAGCCAGCCCATTGGGAATGATTAGTGTAGGCCTGTCCCACGGTGGAACACGAGTGAGATTGCCCTTAAATGAATCCCTGGATGCTTCGGCCTGGCCCCCTGGCATTTGGTTTTGTTCTACTGTCATAGCTTAAAGCTGGCTTTGATACCTTGTTAGTCCTCTCTTCCTGGCTACGGAAACATAACATACAAAGTGCGACCTTCTCCCAGATTCAGAGAAACTAGTGTCTCCAGCAACAGGCCCCAGCTGGGTCTCTGCCTAGGGCTGCCATTCATGTCTTTCATGGCCAAGGGGAAGGCTGCATTTATTATGCGTGTGTCACAAGGTCTGTGGTAGCTTCAACAAGCTTCACAGGAGCTCCAGCGGTTTCTGTCTACAGCTTGGTTTGTTGATCTTCACAGGTGCTTGTACTGTTTGGCAGAGCGGTGAACATTTTTCCTCTTTCCTACCTCCTGAATTTCTTCCGTGATCATAAAATCACCCCGAAGATGATGTTCATCATGTGGTTTAGCGGTGAGTCCAATGTTGAACAAGCAGTAGACGGAAGATCGCTTATAAAGGCCTACATGGTGTGGAGAGCACGAGTGGCTCTCCGCTGGGGCCCTCCAAAACCGGGTGTGCCTCGGAAGGCAGGAGTCACGCCAGCCGCCACTTACCGGCCCCAGGCGAGTCCCACACAGACGGTGCCCCTCACAGGCTCCGTGCTGCAAGGCGAATGGGTATTGCTCGTCTGTTCGGCACATGTGGAGGCTCAGGTTCAAGGGCAACGGATTTGCTTGGGTTCCCGTGACGACAGGAGGCAGAGCCAGCATTTACTGTCCTGCTCCTGCTCCTCTTGACAGGCAGCCCAGGCCAGCCCGCACCGGGGACAGCCCTCACCTGCCTACAAGCAGTGAGGGGCTCCAAAGAGAAAAGGTTCAAGTTCAAATAATTTCACAATACAGGCTAGGTTTGGGTATTTCTTTTCATCCAGTCAGAGTTCTGAGAGTTGATTGGAACATTTTCAGTTTCTGTGCAAATTCCTCTACTTTCTAGAGGAAGGGAATGATTTCATCTTTGGCTCCTAACAGACTGGATCCTTAGGCATCTTTAAGTTTATTTTTGAGCAATACATCCCGTTCTTTGTACTTTCTTATTTAAATATTATAATTAAAATATTCCGTGTGGGTCGGGGTAGAGCAACATGCTTTATAAGCTGTTTTCAATCCAACAGCATATCTATACATTTCTTGCAGATTTCTCTCCTCTTTCAAAAGGCCTTGTTTAAAATATATACATATGTATATGTGTGTGAGGTATGTATGTATGTTTAGCGAGAGAAACTTTTTCCTCAGTCTTTCTTGCCAACGAGAAAAAAATTTTTTGTGTAAAGTAGTTGATCCAAGGTCTTAAAAATCTCAAAATCTAAGAGATGTATTGGATCCTTTACATGGTTGTGTGAGCTGTTTGGGGGAGGCGGGCATGATGAGAGACGTCTGTGGGGAGTGGCGGCTCTGTTTTAAACGGTGAGGGAGGTTGGTCCCAGCTGTTCCTCCCAGGCCATCCCGAGCCCTCTCTCCACGGATTTTCACCCTCTCTCTCCGGGATCCTCAGCCTCTGTCTTCGCTGAGACATCATCGTTGCAACTCCTGGAGATTGTTTTCTTTCCCAGGAAAAAACCAGCGACTTCAACGAACATCCCTTCCGCACAGCCCCCTAGCTGCTTCCCGTCTCCCTTTGCAGCCAGACCTCCTTAAGTGGACACCTCCTTAAATGGGCTCTCCTGCCCTGTTTTCTCCTCCTGTTCATGGGCCTGAACTTGGCCTTCTCTGGGTCACCGAGCAACCTTCTGCTGCCAAGACCTGGTGGGCACAGGGCAGCTCTCGTCCAGCCACACCTCCACGACTGTGAGCTCCTTCTGCCCACCGATCTGCTTTCTGCCTGGAGACCCTCTTCCCTGGGCTCCCAGGCCATACTCCTGGTGGCCCTCTTTCTCAGGTTCCCCTTCCACCTTTACCAAGCCCTGAAACACTGTCATCCTCAGGATGTAGCCCCAGACCTGCTTCTGCTCTTGTGTTCTCACAAGCTCACCCATCCCGGTGGCCCTAGTGTCCATCAAGTTCCCACACCCCAAAGCTCTTTGCTCTTAGATCTTGACTCATGCTTAAGTCCTCCTTCGATGGCTTGGAGAGCTCATTGTCTTGGGACTGAATTTACCTTCCTGCCCAACTTCTTCTTTGCCAGCGTCCCCCTTCCACGGGAAACAGTGATATGTGTTATGACAGAGGTCTGGCTCACTCCACATTTGCTGTGTGTACACCTGTCCTGTGCCCAGCATTTAGTCCTCAGGCCACCAACCTGGCAGGCCCCGCTTCTAGTCCTGTTTGACAGGTGGAGAGGTGGAGTTGAGGCCTGGGGGAAAGAAGGGCGCAGTGGGATGACCCCAGGAGCCAGACTCCAGAACCTGCTCCCAGAGTGCCGTGTAGCACAGCCTCCTGGGACACCCCACCGTCGTCTGTGCCCTTCCCTTCGCGGGCCACCCCACTTCTGGCTCACCCCTGTGGCCTGCTGCTTCCACTCTCCATGTCAATCTCTTTTGTTTTTTTTTTAAGATTTTATTTATTTATTTGACAGAGATCACAAGTAGGCAGAGAGACAGGCAGAGAGAGAGAGGACGAAGCAGGCTCCCTGCTGAGCAGAGAGCCCGATGCGGGGCTCGATCCCAGGACCCTGGGATCATGACCTGAGCCAAAGGCAGAGGCTTTAACGCACTGAGCCACCCAGGTGCCCCTCCATGTCTCTCTTAATCCTGTCCCCTTTCTGTGCCTGTGTCTCGGCTCCGCAATGCTGCTGCGGTCACACCCCCATCGTCCTGTGAGGCTCCAGCCTCTGTGTCTGTCAGACCCTTCACGGTGTGCTCTGCCCCATTCTCCCCTTCTTTGGGCGCTCACTGTGGCACAAGCCCTTGTCTGCAGTCTCCCCACCTGTGCCCCTCTAGGGGGCACCGTGCAAGCCAGCACGTTCCCCAGAAGGTGCTGTTCCCAGCCCAGGGCAGCCCCTCAGCCCAGCCAGCCGCCTCGCAGGGCAGCACCACAGGAGGTAAGGATGCAGCTCCCGGCAGCCTCTGGCCCGCAGCAGAGCAGCCCCGAGCCTGCTGGTGCGGCCAGGAGCTGCAGGAGAGCCACGTCTTCAGAAGCAAAGGGGCCTTGGTTGCTGTTGCCTGCAAGGCTGTGCGGCCCCGGGAGGACGCGTCCTTCCCTCAGTCTCGCGTCCTTATCTGCCTGTGGCGGAGAGTCGCAGGGCCCGTTTCCCAGCCCTCCGGCGAAGTTCCAGCGAGACTGTGCACGCGGAGCCCTTCGCACAGGGCCTGGCACACACACGGGACGGCTCAGTGTGCACTGGCTGTCGGATTTCTAGAACGTAAGCGTTAGCGGGACAGATATCACACGGGCACGCACGCACGCCTGGTGCTTCAGGCCCTGGACAGGTCACCTCGTTTGACCCACTCGGCCACCTCCTGAAGTGGAAATGGGATGAGGTCAGCCCCCACTTCTCTGCAGCCCGCTTCTCTCACGCCCAGAGCCTCACAGGAGGAGCTCACCCTCCGCAGCTGGGTGCGTTAGAACATCGATGGGGGTGAACCAGGCTGTGCCCAGGTCCCCAGCGCCCAGTCGGTGAGGCGACTCCTCTCACCCACTTCCCTGCCCCCAGGCCTGCGGGGCGCCATCCCATACGCCCTGAGCCTGCACCTGGACCTGGAGCCCATGGAGAAGCGGCAGCTCATCGGCACCACCACCATCGTCCTGGTGCTCTTCACCATCCTGCTGCTGGGCGGCAGCACCATGCCTCTCATCCGCCTCATGGACATCGAGGACGCCAAGGTGCGCCGCCGGAGCAAGAAGGACGTCAACCTCAGCAAGACGGAGAAGATGGTGAGTGGGGAGGGGACGGGGCTCGGTCTCTGCCGCAGCTGGGAGGTGGGGAAATGAGACCCGATTTGAGCCTCTTGGCACCTGCACACACTCAAAAGGAGGCTGAACTGGAGTTCTGAGGCCCTTTGTGAGTTGTCCACCAGCGTTGGGCCTGCTGAAGCCACGGAGGCCATGGAGTGGGGGCGTGGAGCCACATCAGGCTCTCCCAGCACCACCCCTTGGAAGGTTTTAAAATCAGTCATCCTCCTCCCCCACAGCATCTACTGAAAGCCTCCTGCTGGGGGCCTGGGGAGGGGAAAATGCTTGCCGGGCCTCTGAGGGCCGTGAGAGAGGTGCCTTCTTGGAGGACAGACGAGGTGTCCAGGGTCCCACTGCGGTGAGCCGGAGGCTCCTAAATCCCTGGCCACCTCCTGCGCCTGTAGCTGCCCCTCCCCGCCGGCTGCCTGTCCCTGGCGTCAGCCCTCCTCGCGCTGTGTGGACCCTTGGGCTCCCTGTGCTGAGCCAGGCTCTCTGACAGGAGCAGAGGCCGTCCTTGGCCTCTCAGGCCACCTTCCTGCACTGCCCCCACCCACCCACCCCCAGTTCTAGAAATGCCTCTTTTTCTAGTTCCCTTATTTGAGGTCATCAGTAACTTTGTTCAGTCAAGGAAAGCAGAGAAATCCTCAACCAGCAGACAGACAGGGACACAGCCCACTCTTCCACTGGGGCGCTCAGGACCGGCCAGATCCTGGCCTCAGGTCTCTTTGTGGCCTGGCCCATGTCTCCTCCAAGACCTGGCTGGGAGGAAGCCCTTGGGGGGTTCACAGGGTGATCACAGGCGGGGCTGGTTCAGCACGACCCTCACACTCTCAGAAGCCTGTCCCCGGCCACCCCCATCCCCTAACTTTCTGGTCTATTCCTAACAAAAGCCCCACTATAGGTTCTCGGACATTCCAGAGGCTGTCAGAATCGGTGGAGGGCTCCTGGGTCTCCCCAAGTCTAAGCTGTGGCTGGAGAGAATTTGTGTTTTGAGCAGGGTGCTGGGTGCCAGGTACTGCTGCCCCCTCCGACCCCGCAGCCACGCTTGCTGGAGCCCGGCTCCTGCGGAACCAGGATGTATGCCCAGAGGAAGAGCAGCTGCTGCTTAGGGAATGTTTGGGAATGTTCTCTGTGGCACAGGCGCAGTAGCTGTGCACTCCTCGCACCGTCTCAGGTCGCCCTGAGAACCCATAGGAAGCAGGTGCTCTCTGCTCCTCCCCAGTTTGCAGATAAGAGCGCTGAGGCACAGAGCGGTCAGGACTCCATAGTCTGTGCTCTGCACCCCCATGCCCTCCATCAGCGCTCTCGGGGTGGAGGTCCCTGGATCGGCAGCATCCCCAGGAACTTGTTAGAAAGGCGAATTCTTGGGCCCCATCCCAGACCTGCTGAATCACAACTCTGCAGGTGGGCCTGGGGGGTCCAGGATTTTGTAGATTTGTAAGCCCTCCGGGTGATTCCCCCTCCCATATCCTGCACCTGCACCTGCTCCACTGCCCAGGCACCCAGTGGAGGCCACTTGGCTGTGGCTTCAGATGCTACATTCACACCCTGCTGGCCTTTGGTCATCCCTGCAGCGGACAGGGCTGTCCTGGGCCTGGAGCTCTGCTGGCGTTGATCTGTTGATCGGTGAAAGAGACCTCCTCCCCCTGCAGTCCTGCCCTACTATGGGGTAGTTGCTCTTACTCCTCTCCAGGTCCCCCCGGGATTGCCCCCCATCCCTGCACGCACACACACACACTCACACACACATACTCACCAAGCGGCCAACACCTGCCCAGAGCAGAACCGCAGCTCACGCAGCTGTTGGCAAAAATGACAGAAGGAGCCTCCCTGTTCCGTTGGCTGCCAGTGAAATCCCCTAGAATGGCAGTTCCCAGTCCTGCCTGCCCATTAGGATCACCTGGAAAGCTTACAAACCAAACCCCAGCCCACAGATAAATTCTGACTTATTCATAATTCTCATTTATTCCTGGCTGTCCATCGCATTTTTATAAACCTTCCCACCTCCCTGCAGGCTCCCGGGAGGCACTTTGCTGCCAACATACGCCCCGCGCTGATCCGAAGGCACAGTTAGGGTCGGAGACACTGGTGGCCAGAAGCGAAGCGCTGCTGGGTAGGCGGGGTGGGGTGGGGGCTCTCAGGAAGAGACCAGCTCATGACGCCCCCCTGCCCCCGCAGGGCAACACCATCGAGTCAGAGCACTTGTCCGAGCTCACAGAGGAGGAATATGAAGCCCATTACATCAGGCGGCAGGACCTCAAAGGTTTCGTGTGGCTGGATGCCAAGTACCTGAACCCCTTCTTCACGCGGCGGCTAACTCAGGAGGTGGGACACATGGCGAAGGGTCCCCAACAGAGGGCGGGCGGGGGGCCAGCCAGGCCACCTCCCCCAGCTCGACCTTCCCCTTCCCAGGCGGGCAGCTGGGTATGCTGTGGAACTCCATCTGCTGTTTTTCCTTCACTGCCATTTTTAGTGCTAGTTTAATAATAGACTTGTTAACGCGGTTCCGTTTTCCTGGATGATAGACGCAGGACATTGATCGGCTACTGATTCTGAGCTGAAAATTGCAAACATGCCGGGGCCTCAGGCAGTGGCCCAAGGCCCAGGGCTCTTGTTCCATCCCTCTGGGGACTGCTGGCCTCTGGGTGACAGTGAATGACACAGTCTCAAGGGGCCTGGCTCAGGCCTGCCCCACTTCGTTTCTGAGCCCACGTTCCCACCCCACTGTCATGGTCGCTGTCAGCGTGGGAATGTTTCTGTTGCTTCGTTTCATGCTCTCAGCGACCTGTGTCATAGCCGCAGCTGCTCTCTCACCAGACAGCTGGGGAGACTGAGGCCCAGAGAGGTGCCGTAACCCCCCGAGGTCACGCAGCCAAGGTGCAGCAGAGGTGGGAGCACACCCCAAGGGTGTCTGATTCCAGAAGCCGTGTTTTTTAACATCACACCAGCCTGCCTCCTACTCCTATTTCTGAGTGACACCTCCAGTTACCTCCACCCCCACCGAGAAAAATCCCAGTTCGAATTAGTTGGTTAACACTTGGAAATTGCCTGTGGCCACGTGCCCTTCCTTCCGTCTGTCCCACACCCCCACGAGGTACACAGCAGCTCCCCACTCCCTCGGCCCTGACCTGACCCAGACCCACTGACAAGGGCTCGGTTGTGTCTCCTGCTCCAGGACCTCCACCATGGGCGCATCCAGATGAAAACCCTCACCAACAAGTGGTACGAGGAGGTGCGCCAGGGCCCCTCCGGCTCCGAGGACGACGAGCAGGAGCTGCTGTGACGGAGCAGAGCGCCCCGTCCAGCCTCCTCGTGGCTCCCACGACAGAAGCTCCGCAAGGGCCCCGGAGGGGCTAACATGGGGCAGCCCCCTCAGGGGAGATGGAAGCAGGGGGAAGCAAAGGCCTTGGTCTTCGGAAACCGGACGTCCCTGGCCCTTGGAGCCAGCTGTCCGCTTCCGAAGTAGGTCGCGTCCCTGGGCCTCAGCGCGCAGGACCTCTGCTCTCCGTGTTGCTTCTCAGCCCGCAGATCAGAGGGAGCAGCTGTCCGGGTAAATCTTCTTTCTGCTTCTGCGGCCAGGGTGCAGAGTCCTCTGCCGGACTGAGGGACCCAAGAAGAGGAGCCGCGTCCTGCTGTGGAGCCTGCCGTGACTGGGGTGCTGCGGGAGCTGGGGCTTCTGCCGTTCCCAGCCACGGCCTGCATCACAGGACCGCCTGCCTGTTCCAGCAGCACGAGGAGTCAGCCGCCATTTCCCTTTGGTCATCAAGGTGCCCGTGGTCTCAGCAGCAGCCGTTCGGACCTAAGTGGTGGGCTCGGAAATCTGGAAAACCTCATGCTCCCCTTTGTGATGTTGCTTGCACTCCCTGAGGAGGAAGAACCTAGTGACCTTTTTCTTCACCTCTGCCTGGCACCTTGCAGGCCGTCTCCCTGGGCGGTGGCAGCTGCTGCCCTCCTCTGGGAATAGTGTGAATGTTTACCCTGGTTCGGCGAGGGGGCGCATGGCCCCAGTGGGGAGTCCCTTTGGAAGCCTCCTGCTTGGGTTTCTGGGGGTGAGCGAGCCTAGTCTGTGGGGTCAGAGCGCCCCCTGGAGGGAGAAGCTAGAGTTACAGGGCTCATGCCGGCAGCATCTGCTGTCTTTAAATTCAGTTCAAATTCATGCACTTTGACAAAGGAACGAGAGCCTAGCAATCACCTTCCTCGCTCAGTGGACCTTATCCATCCAGAGGCCCCATTTCCTGGGCACCGTGGGGTCTGCCCACTGTTTGGCTACTGCCACCTTTACTGCTAATCAGCACTTTCTCTTTCCCTGCCCCAGTTCTTTATTGGCCTGGGTCCCAGCTCCCCAGGGCCCAAGGGCAGGGGCCAGAGCAGCAGTGCTCCATGCTCCTCCCCAGCCACGCCTGCCCAGAACTCACTCACGGAGCATCTGTATGTGCTCTCTCCCTCTCGCATGCACATGCCCTGGCCCATCCCTGGGGTCCCGGACCCCCAGCGGTCTAGGGTGAGGAGCTTAGACTCACGTTTGGGCAGAATCACTACTGACTTTTGCCTCCAGTCCTCCCCTGCCCTTAACAAACCTCATCCCTGCAAGCCTTTGCCCATCTTTGGGCCAGTGGCAACTCCCCTGGGTGGCTCAGGGTCCCTGTCTTGGGACCCAGCACACCTCTGGGGTGGTGTAATTCGTCATGTGCATGTCCTTGGTTCTCGGGGGCACACAGTGGGCCAGCACGGACGCTGGGCTGGCGGCGAGCATGATTCCATCTGTTCTGCCTCACAGCATGGCCCTGGCTGTCAGGAAGGACTGACTTTAGAAACCACCAGGCCAGACCCCTTTCCGGAAGTGTGAGGCCGGTCAGACGGGAAGCACATGGTTTCCTTTTCATGCACGCAGAGAAACTCTGCACTTGATAGGGTTAAAGTATAGTCACTTGTGTTTTTGTAACCTCTCACTTTAAGCTCGTACTTTAAGCCAAATAGGCGTATTTTACTGCACCTGATACCATCACTGGAGGAGTAATGCCGTGCCTAATTCTGGTCTCCATCATTTCCTACATACTTCTACTGGAAAAGTAAGAGAAGAAGTCACAAAGGGAGGGGCCACACCTGGCAGGAGGAGGGCAGGGATCCCAGACTAGAGTGTTCCCCAATCCATAAGTAATTTCCCTTCACTTCTAAAGTTCAGGGTCTGATCTCAGAATGTGTTACTTGCATTGCAGACTCATTAGTTTACCAGAAAATGTGGTGGTGGAGGGGGCTATGAATTCAGATAAAGTAGTGAAAACAGGATCTTCTCAATTCAGACTGCCCCCTTGTCACCAGGTCCTGGCTGGCCTCGCACTTTTAGCTGAGACCTGAAAATGATGCTGTGGTAGAGGAGAGCCCCCCAGGTTGGCAGGTCCCCGAGGCCTGGCTTAGTGGGCGGGCGCGTTCTCCCGGGAGCCTCTTCTGCCCCCTGCTGAAGTGAGGCTTTGGCGGGCTGCAGCCGGTTCCTGAAGAGGGAGCCTGTGTTCCTTCAGTCTGTTTCTTCACGTTTGCCACAGGCAGAGCCCGTGGAGATGTATTTTCCTGGTGCATTTTCTTCAAGTGTCTTTGCCTGAGAATCAGAAATTTGCTGCTGTCTACCTTTAGCATACCTAATGATTCTGTTATTGGGGGCAATAAATGCCTACTAGATTAAATATATATATATATATATATATATATATATATATATATATTCAGCATAACTGTGATTTCCCACAGATTTATTCCCATCTAGGTCTAGGCCATGGGAGAGCTATAGTGCGCAGACAAGGTCACACTTCAGAGGGAGGTAAGGCTGTGAAGTCTGTGAGGGCCTGTGGGGAAACTGGCCCTTTATCCGTGAACTCAAGCCACACACCCAAGGCGCCCCCTGCAGCCCTGTCGTTGTAAGACCCCTGGGAACAACCCTTCCCTGAGGCTGGCGGTGTGGGACGTTACAGGGAAAGGAGCTGGCTTGTCCTAGGTCCCCAGAGATGAGGTTTTAGGCTGGGCTGAGCCAGGGCCAGGCGGAAGGAGGCGGCTCAGCTCCATAGTCGGGTGCGCAGACGCTCGGCCCAACGGCAGAACCAAAACCCTCCCGCACCCAGGACGGCTGCCTCTCCTCACAGTGGAAATGCGGGCCGGGCCCCGGCTGATGGAAGGGCCAAGGGGCAGGGCCTGGCCCAGAGTGGTGACCGCCCCGGAGTACCCCAGGTCAGCCTAGGGAGCCCTGGTTTGCCTGCGGATTCCTTTATGTGCAGTGAGATGTGGAAAGATGGACGAGTGGGGATCCTGTCCCTGAAACCCACGCCAGAGGCGCCGTCAGCGAGACTCGCCCCCGGGAGGTCTCAGTTCCACCTTCCCACAGGGGCCGGTGCACTTGGCAGAGTCCTCAGCGGGGTGGCCGCGGCCAGGACCCCACTTCGCCCTGGTTCAGAGAGTGAGGGTGGCGCCGGGTGGCGGCCGGCTCCTCCTCAGCCAAGTCCTGGACGGCAGAGGTGCGCGCCTCCGAGCTGGGAGGGATCAGCCACAAGGATCTGCCATCCAGTCAGACGTTAAATGCAAGGAGAGAGGGAAGAGGCACCGTGGCCCTCCCCACTCTCCAGCACGCAGCTGTTTGTCCTGCTGGCCGAGCTGTGTAGGGAACCGCCTCAGGCGTCCTCCACGCGCAGCCCACGGCCGAAGAAGCCGATCTCCCAGCCCCGTCTGCAAAGCCCCGGGCAGTTTGTGTAAACGGAAACACCCCCAGGGAGAGGCAGGAGCCAGGAGCCACCCTGCCTTGCATCTGGGTTCCTGCCGTCTGTCACGCCAGCCGAGCTGCACCGCAGGAACCCCCGCGGCCGCTGACCACCTGACAGAAGGAGGAAGACGCCAGTTCCCCTTGGGCCGCGCCATCCCACTGGCTCACCCCGTTTCTTCACCCGCCCCCCAACACCGGGCCTTCCAGACGGGGAGCTGCCTGCCAGGCCGCCCAGCGTGCGCGAACCTGGCCGTCGGGGCGACAGCGTGGCCACACGGGGGACGCGCCATGGGCGCTGCAGGGCAGGCTCTTCTGGAAGCCCCAACCCTGCCGGCAGGAACCGCCGCAGGCCGGGGAAGGCTCCTTGTTCGCTGCCAAGCTCCGAGGTTCGTGGCTCCCCCCAGGCCGGAACGTTGTCTCCGATGCGGCCCCCGCCACGCTGGTCTGTTCATGGTGTTCTTCTGAGAGATTTGCTTGGGGGAAATGAAGGATTTCTTTAATTACTGCTTTTTTGTTTTAAGGACCTTTGGGAAGTTCAGGCTGCTTCTTTGTCCTGGTTCCTGAGATGATTTGCTGCTCTTCTGGATGGGGCTTCCGATCGGGTGGCTCGGGGATGGGGACACCAGGAGCTGCCACGCCCGAGCCCCGATATCATCTCACTGCACTCTAAAGAATGCAGAAACGGCTGGAGAACGGCCATGTCACTGGCTACTTACTTAGAAATAAACATGAATGCTGCTGGGTCAGAGGCAGTTTCTGTGTGTGTGTTCCGGTGTTGCAAATGCATGGGTCACACGCTCCGGGACTCAGCTGTGTCACCACCGGCCAGACTCGGCGGGGCCAGCAGCAGATGTGTTGCCGGTGGGCTTCGGATCAGGCACGCCTGAGCCTAATTCCTGCCCCTGCCCCTTAGTGAGGAGCACGTGGGGCCAAGTGGAAGGGCCTAGTACAGGCCCAGCTGCCAGCCGGCTCACAGCTGCTGCTCCCCACAGGTGGCTGGGAATGCGCCCTCCCCGGGGCTCCCGGGGCCGCAGGGCCGCTGCTGCCCGGGACTGCAGATCGGCCCCTGTGCGCCCCTGCCAGGCCGCGCGCGCAGGACCGCGCCGGGCCTTCCTCTGGGTTCTCAATCCACGCAGCCACGGGAGTCTGGTGGAAGGCGGTGGCGTTCTCCTCGGGAAGCCTGGAGCCTCCACTTATTTTTACCCCCTCAGTCTTCCAAAAGGCATCCAAAGCTGCTTCTGGTAACAGGCACAGACCAAAAAGAAAAGAAAGAAAGAAAAAAACACACAAAAACATGGAATAGAAAGTGAAAGCAGGTAGGACAGCCTGTCCTGCTCCTAGGCATGGGCCTTCTGGCAGGGAAGCCAGTGCTGGCCCTCTTGGTTCCTTCCAACCCTGCAATTCATCCCCATTCCCGCTGCCCCTGACCCCCAGCCAAAGAAGGAAGTGGGGAGAACATATCACACCCGGGACCCTACCTGTACCTGGGCTGCCAAACCAGGTGCCCGGACCGTGCCGGGGCCCGGCTGGGAGCCGGCTGGGGAGTCGGGGCTGGGTGTGCGAGGCCCACGTGGCCTCCCTTCATCGGCTCCCTTTGCCGCCTCTGAAGAGACCTGGCTGGGTTCAGAGATTTCTCTACATAATAAAACTTTGTGTGATGACAGGTGGCACTGGAGTGATGGGGAACCTGGCAGTCTTCGCAGGCCACCTCCAGCTGCCAGGGAGGCTGGACGATGGAGTTGTGCCAAGCAGAGTGTCCTGATAGTAAAAGGAGAAGGGGTCCCAAGTGGCCCCTGCCACAGGCGGAAATGGTACTTTTCGTTCACACTTCAACCCTCTTCTCGACTCCTAGAAGAAGCACTCAGGGTGGAGGGGAGCGAGCCAGGGAAGTTTTTCCTTAGAGGCCAGAAAGTTCTGGGGGAGGGCGACACACAAAGGTCACGGCTCCATAAACCCCAATACGTCACGGGCAGCAGAAATAACCGATACAAATTCACGAAGTGAGACAAGCAGATTCCAAAACAATAATATCTAGCATTAGCCTCTAACAGTTAATAGTGTGTGTATAAATAGGAAAAAATCGGGAAGGGCAGGTGCTAAGTTTTAACTTTGGTTCTCTCTGAATGGAAGGACGATGGTAACTTAAAACCTGC